CATCATTGTTACTGGTATTTGGCATATTGGGTACACCGCGGGGAGTTTGCCAGACTCTGCCGTGTGGGCAGGCTACATTCGTTAGCCTGCCGGGTTGTCCAAAGTAAGAATGAGATAATAAGACGTCGCACGGCCACGAATGCGGCCACGCGCACTTCCGGGAGCTGGGTTTTATAGTCTCTGGGTCTTGGCCGTTGATGGGATTACACGGCATCATGGGGCAGTTGGTGGGTGTGATCCCTGCCTACTGGAAGATGGAGGATCTGGGTGGAGGATGCTCAGCCCCGATCCGAGCAGGCTTGGAGATCTCAGCCCCGGGACCTGCGTGCCTTTGTTCCTCTGCCGGTACCTTCATGCGTGTGGAGAGTGGTCTCAGCATGGTTGTGGCTGGTTCATATTGCCTTTTGGGTAATATGGTTTGCAATGCAGGTCTTGAGAGGTTATCATGTTTGTACCTTTACCTACTCTCAGCAACAGTTTTTATCCAGAGTGATCATTTCCAACTGTCTTTGTCATAGTGGTTCCTTCTCTATCCCAGCTTCCAAATCATGGACCAGTCGTCCTGGCGCTTGTTTCTGCTGTCCATGGGTATTAGTCTCATACTATGTTTTTTTTGTATTCCACACGTGATTGCTACCAATGTCTGTCTGTCTTTCTCCTCCTGACTCATTTCACTCAGCATGATACTTTCCATGTCCATCCTTATAAGCAAAGCTCATAACTTTGTTTTTCTTGGTAGCTGCGTAATATTCAGTTGTCTAGGTGGACCATCATTTCTTTAACCAGTTGTCTGTTCTCGGGCACTTGGCTTGTTTCCAGATCCTGGCTGTTACAAATACTATTGCAGAAAGGAACATAGAAGCGCAGATGGCATTTTGATGGGTGTGTTTTTGTGGCCCCGGTGTATATTCCCAGAAGTGGCATTGCTGGGTCAAATGGATACTCAATTTTTAATTTATTGAGGAATGCCCGTATTATTTTCCAAAAATGGCTGGACCAGTGGGCATTTCCACCAAAAATGGGTGAGAGTCCCATCCACCCCCCCCTTCCCCCCCATCCATTCCACGCCAGCACTGGTTGTTCTTGTTCTCTCTCTCTCTCTCTCTCTCTCTCTCTCTCTCTCTCTCTCTCTCTCTCTCTCTTTTTGTCTTTCTGTGGTTACTTCTGGCTCTGCATTCAGGAATTACCCTGATGGTGCTCAGGCGACCATATGGAGTCCTGTGGATCGAACCCGCATCGACTGCTTGCAAGGCAAACGCCTTCCTGCTGTACTATCCCTCTGGCTGCCCCTGTTCTTGTTCCTTTTGATCTGTGTCACTGCCTGTGGTGTGAGATGAGATGGTATCTCCGTGTTGTTTCGATTTGCATCTCCCTGATGAGTGATGTAGAGCATTTTTTCATGTGCCTTTTGGCCAGTTGCATTTCTTTGAGGAAGTTTCTGTCTCTCCTCCCCCACTTCTTGATGGGGTCCAGCCTTGGTGTCTGAAAGGCTATCCTGGGTCCGGCAGTCCCTGTGGCGTCTCTGTGGAAGATTAGTTGATGGTATGCGTTGGGTCTGTCTGTGGATGCTGTTCAGTCCCACTGATCTTTATTTCTGTTACTTTATTGTACATCTTGGAGTCAAGTAGTCAAGTCTTCCTCTTCTATGTTTTAGAAAATTAGAGTTGATGTTTGTAGGCCATTTACATTTTATTAGCACTATGCACTCACCTCCTGTTGTTCATCGATTTGCTTGAGTGGGCCCAGTAATGTCTCCTGTCTCCATTGTGAGACTTGCAGTTACTGTGCCTGGCATATCGAGTACGTCACGGGGAGCTTGCCAGACTTTGCTGTGCGGGCGAGATACTCTCAATAGCTTGCCGGGCTCTCCGAGAGGGGCGGAGGAATCGATCTCGGGTCGGCCACATGCAAGGCAAATGCCCTACACGCTGTGCTATCGCTCCAGCCCATACATTTTATTATACAAAATAAAATCGCTGTCACTTCAAGTTTTTTTCTTTTGGTACTGGGCATCAAACCTAGGGCCTCACACATTGTTTTGCTTGTTGTTATTTGTTGCGGGGGGAGGGGGGTAGTATTTTGACCACACTGGGCCCTCCTCAGGGATCACTCCTGGGGGTGTTCAGGGGACCGTGTGTGGAATTGAGCACAGCTTGGCTGCTTGCAGCTGTACTTTCTCTCTGGCCCCATCGTTTTCTTGACGTTCTTTGATGGGAAAATGTTGTATTTTATTTTTTTTTGCCTATTTTGGGTCACACCTGGCGATGCACAGGGGTTACTCCTGGCTCTGCATTCAGGAGTTACCCCGGCAGTGCTCAGGGGACCATATGGGATGCTGGGAATCGAACCCGGTTCAGCCGTGTGCAAGGCAAACGCCCTACCAGCTGTGCTATCTCTCCAGCCCCCCAAAAGTTGTATGTTTTTAGGGACTGGACTGTAGGAATGGGGTCAACACACTGGCCAGCGGTCACTGCCTGTGTTCTCCCCCCCACTGCCTAGAGTAACCCTGCCCTCCTGGGGCCCCACCCAAGAAAAGTGCTCTTGTGAAGAACTACTATCTTTTTATGGTTGTTGTGTTGGGGCCACACCCGGTGATACTCTGGGGCTACTCCTGGCTCTGCTCAGGAGTCGCTCTTGCTGGTGCTTGGGGGACCCTTTGGGATGTCGGGGATCGAACCCGCGTCAGCTCTGTGCAAGGCAAACACCCTCCCTGTACTGCCCCTCTGGCCCCAGTTCAATTAATCTTGACTCTTTTCTTATGTTTTTGGCATCATTTTAGAATTCATCGCTAACTCCAAGGCCGTAAAATTAACCGCTTTGTTTCCTTAAAATTTTATTATAGCTTTAGCTATTGAATTTAGGCTGTTAATTCCTCTTAAGTTAAATTTTATAATTGGCCTGACTTTGGCGATCCAGTTTTACGGTTTACATTTTTTGTGGACATTCAGCTGTTTCGGCATCTTTTATTGAAAAATTCTTCATTTTTTCCATTGTGTGATTTTTAATTCATGAATGGGTTTGTCTGCGAGCTCTGAAATTCGTTCTTTCGGTCTCTGTCCTCATGTCAGTACCACACTAGTTTGATGGTTTTTACCTACAGCTTGTGTTAGCATTGTGTGCTTTTTGTGTTTTGATGGCATTTAAGACTTTTTAGAAATGTTGGATAGCTCCATTAAAGAAATTGACTCCTCGTATCATAGTATAACAAACACATATAAACAAAGGAAAGTTCTAGTTTCCATTTGGTTTCTCCATTTCTCTGCACCTACTACCACCTTAGAAAGAGTGTTGTACTGGGTGGATTCTGATTCAGTTTTCTTTCTAAGTTAAATTGACCTCGAGCCTTTATCATTGGTTCCCAAGTGCCCAAAGGGGGCCTGAATGGATCCTGGGGCTAGTCGTGGCCTCCAGTGCCATTGTCTTTCTCTTTGTTCACTTAAAGAAGTTTTTTTTTTTTCTCCCTTCCTGAAGAGTGGGTGATGGGCCAAATAAATTTGGGAACCTTTGCTTTCAATAAAGGACTAAATACCTTGCTAAGTGCCCTTCCAGGAGTCCCGATGCCCGCTATAGAAATGCAGATGAGGATCTGTCTGTAGCTTGGCATCACAGTGGCCAGAGCCTCAGAGATGCTTGTTACCAGAGTGATGGCTTTTATCTGGTGCTCCGTAAGGAAACTTCTCCGTTGTTCTGAATCTGAATAGGTTACAGGCCGGAAGAGGAAAAGTAGTCTCTAGTCTAGGCTTGCCTCTGTTTTCTGCGCCTCTCCTGTGAGCTGTGGGCTGGAGTCGGGCTCCTTGCCCTGTGGCTTGCCACGGCCGGGCTTTTGCAGACTGGGTCCCCGCGGGCCGAGACCAGGCTCCTCATTTCCTTGTCAGCTGGGACTTGGACCCTTTCTTGTGGTCTGTGAGCCCGTCGGAGCTGTTGAAACAGCGGAGGGGCCCGTGGGAGATGGGGCGCAGCGCGCTCTAACCCCGCCCTACGGGGGGGGGCACTGCCCCTGCTCTTGAGGGCAGCTAATTGTATTTGGACTTTAACAACTCTAAGGGTTTTAGAGATTGGAAGGGGTGGGGTTCAAATAAAAAAAGCCTCCAGTGTCCAGATCCTAGTCCAGCTGGCCTTGTGCATGGCTGACCTGGGTTTGCGCTCCAGCATCCCGCATGGGCCCCGGATCCCTATCCAGAGTGAACCTTGAGCGTCACTTGGGGTGGCCCCCAAAACAAAACAACAAAAAGATATCAACTCCAGTAGAGCTTAACAAAAAACAAACAAACAAATCAAAAAACCGGGCTCATGTTTAATTCATTATCTGCTTGTTACTGAGTCTTGGAAAGTCAACCCCCGTTCTCTGGGCTACTCTCTCAGTATGTTGAACGGCCGTGACGAGGTTGCCCTCTTAGGGAAGGACTCGCCATGGGTGGGGAATGCAGGGCAGGGGTCCTCCTGAGCCCAGCCAGGTGTAAGTGGCCAGCACAGATTAGCCGTTATTTAATATTTAGATATTTAAAAATATTCTAAAAACCTTGCAAGCAGATTGTGGTTTGTAAAGGAGGAGGGATTTAAGGTTTGGATAAGCTAACTTGGGCCAGGGTCTCTCATCTGGGTTGTTTGGTTTTGGGGCCACACCTGACAATGCTTAGGGCTTACTCCTGGCTCTGTGCTCAGGAACCACTCCTGGGGGGGCTTAGGGGGGCCATGGGGGGGGCTTAGGGGGGCCATGGGGGGTGTTGGGTCTCGAACCCAGGTCAGCCACGCGCAAGGCCAACGCCTACTGCCTGTTTTGTCTTGCCTCGCTGGTCCCACTCATCGGAGTGTTTTGTTTTGTTTTAAAAAAGCAATCATTTAATTGAGGTGACAAGCTCAGGGTGAAAAGTGGCTGCCCCAGTGACGCCCAGTTCGTTCAGGGATGTTGCTTTGTCTTCACGTTGACCAGCTCTTTCTAAGGTGGGCAGTGGGAGTCCAGACCCCGGTGTGTCCTAACTGCTGATGTTTTTATTTTACAGTGTAATGTTCAAGCTCAGAAATGCCTTATGTGGATCGTCAGAATCGCATCTGTGGTTTTCTCGACATTGAAGAAAATGAAAACAGCGGGAAGTTTCTTCGACGGTACTTCATACTGGATACCACGGAAGATAGCTTCGTATGGTACATGGATAACCCACAGGTTTGTGGAGCCCCAAGGACTTTCTTTCAAAGCATGTAGGAACAGGATTGGTGCATTTGATGATTTGATGTGCCCCTACAGTTGTTTAAATCCCAAGGGTGAAAGGAAGTTTATTTGGCTAGCGACGTCTGCATACGTTTTTTCCTTTCTTGCTTTTTTTTTTTTTTGACTCTTTGAGTCACACCCAGCAATACTTGGGTGGTTTTCTCCTTGTTTTGCACTCAGGAATCACTCCTGCTAGTGCTTGGGGGACCACAAGGGATGCCGGGGATTGAACCCAGGTTGGCGGCATGGAGGCGGCGTGCAAGGCAAATGCCTTCCTCACTGTACTGTTGCTCCAGCCCCCACAATTTTCCTTTCTTAAGAGAAAAATGCTGTCTTTGTTGAAAACTATTAAGTCACTGAGATGTAAGGTAACTATCTCTCGAACGAGACTGCTATGCTTTAATTAACTTCTAAAACCGCTGGACACCATTTTATTTTGTTCTGGGGTCATATATAGCTGTGCTCAGGGCTTAGTCCTGGCAGTGCTCAAGGACCCACGGGGGCCTGAGAACCAACCTAGGTCAGCCACGTGCAAGGCAGGTGCTCTCCTTGCTGTGCCGTCTCTAGCCAGTTATAGTTAACATTTCTTTTCTTTTTTTTTTGCTTTTTGGGTCACACCCAGTGGTGGTTACTCCTGGCTCTGTACTCACTAACTACTCTTGGCGGTGCTTGGGGGACCCTATGAGATGCTGGGGATTGAACCCGGGTCGGCCAGCGCCCTCCCCGCTGTACTATTGCTCTGACCTCCCTACTTGACATTTCAAAGACCTTTGCTTGCGGCCTCATGGCTCTGGGCTCACTCCAGCCACAGCGCCGGGGGCCCGCACCCGGCCTCTGCAGACTTTCATTCTCTGAGCTGTTACAGCTGTGTGTCAGCCCGAACCCTCAGCAGTCAGGATTGAAAGCAGAGGGCCAGAGACCTGACCTGGGATTAGCAGAAGGGTGAGCCCAAGATTAGCCCAAGAGTTTAGCAGAAGCTTCCCTTGGGGAGAGAAGAGGAGGGAAGCGGGGAAGGGAGCACTTAGAGCTCGGTCTGGGTTTCTGCGACCCAGATGCCCAGAGATGCTGAAACTCCCCTTGTCGATCTTCTTCACCAGGGAGGTGTGTGAGCACCGCTTGGGCTTCAGGCCCGTCGGGGGTGAGACGGGGGCAGGCCACGGAGGGGACCTCCTGCCGCCCGGTGCAGACCCCGGGCCCGTTCTCCAACTTTGTGTTTGGGGGAGTTTTCTTGGGGGCCGTTCTCTTTCCCATCTCACCCACCCGGTTTCCCTCGCAGGGCACCAGAGTGCCACCTCCCGGCCCCCAGCTGACACGTGTCGGCCTTTGCGGGGAAGCCGCTGTGCTAGAATACATGAATCGGGAGGCACTTGGATTTGCTGTTGCCTTCCAAGGTGTTGAGAGTAAGTGTTATAAATTCAGCATTGGAATCCCGCCTTTAAGATCAGAGAGGCTTGGATTAGAGGTTAGATTTAGTCTGGGCGAGTGGCCAGAGTGGCATTTTATGTCGTGCACGGGTGAGGCTTTCGAGTCGGACCCCTCTCCCCCCCACCCCCCCGCGGCTGCCCAGGGCACCAGCGCACACAGCCCTCACCCTTCTCTGTCCGTGAAATGCTTTCTTCAGGTTGAGCTGCGCTTTGAAAGGCGACGCGAGGGGCAGAGACCCCAGAAGCCTGGGCTGAGGGCTGCTTGTACTGTGCAGCAAGGCAGGGAGGGCGGAGGGTTTTCCGTACTGTCCCCTGGAGCAGGATTGGGCACCCTGACGGCTGGGCTGGGCACCCACTGGCCCGCCCTGATGGCATTGAAGACCGGATGCACCCTTATTCCTGACTTGCTTTGGTCTGTATAGAACTGGAGTGGTCCGGGACCTCGGTGTTACTCCGCCTCTCGGATGCCACACTCAGCATTCATTCTCCGTCTTCCTCTTAGCTGTCACTGACACATCCCTGGAGTCCAGAAAGAGCTGTCATACTGGAACCAGGGTCTGTTTAATTTCTGTGACCCGAAATCTAGTTCCTGCTATCTTCTGCTCTTTGATCTGTGTGTACGGTTACCCTGATTCTCTGTCTTTCCAATTTTGGAGAATGGTGTGTAGTTTAATTGAGTTTATATTATATGGTGCTGAGTTTGTGTAAGACTTTTTTTTTTTTTCTCTCTCCTTTCTCTAAGAACTGCCTATTTTGTTCTACTTCTTTTGTTGACGTCCTGTCTTACACTCATTTCTGGGTGTGGTCAACTTTTTTAATTGATAGTCACTTGGCCCTGCAACCAGGGGTTTATTTGCCTGAACCAGTGGGGGAGGAACCGGTCAACAGCAGCAAAAGTTTGTTTACCTTTTAAAAACATAAATTAGATACTTCCCTTTTATGATCCCATCTCTTTATCTCTTTCACAATTCCTCCTCGGTTGCTCTTCCTGAGGAAAGTCACCCTGTGCGACTCCCTCTAATGACTGTTTACTCCGCTCCGGCTTCTTGGCCTCCTGGTCCATGCTGGGGCCACGCGTGTTGTCGCCTTTCTGGCTCAAGATCTGCCGGACTGGCCATGGCATGTCCCAAATTGCGTGTAAAACCCCCCTCCGGGATCGCGTCTCTGGCTTTACACATCATAAATTCTTTCCCTCGGGATTTCGCCTCTTTGATCCGTTTTTCCCGCTTAAGCAGAGCTGCAAAGAAACGTCAGAGCTGGGATGTGTTTGATTCGCCTCCGAAAAAGGCCATGATGGATCGTAGCTGGCGGAGGCTGTCAGTCCCCCCTGAGGCGTTCGCGTTGGAAACGACCAAGGAGGATAGCTTTGCTCGCGGTCAAGGAGGTGAAGTGACTGCCCAGACTCCGGAGGTGAAGTGACTGCCCAGACTCCGCTGGAGAGCGGGCAGGGCGGGTCCTGAGCTTCCGAGTCGGGGCGTTTTGGGAAGGTTTGCTCCTGTCCCCAAGAGGCAGAGCCGATCGATCCCCGTGTCTGTGCTCGGCTTCTTCTCGGTCGCCAGCGCTGTTGTCAAAGCAGACCTCTGTGGTCTAATCAGCATCTTGGTTTTTCAGAATGTGGTGCAGAACTTTCTTTTTTGGGGGTGGGGTGGGGGCGAGGCTCCCAAGCAGAGGCCTGGGGCCCTGGGAACCCTTCCCCTTGATTCTTGTTCAGCCAGCACCAGCTGCTTGAGCCCTCTGGTGTGGGGGACCTCGGTGATGCTGAGGGTGGGGGTGTCGGGGCGGGTGGTGCCCCGGGTTGAGCCTGGGTCAGCTCCTGCCTGGTCTACACCCAGAGCCCTGTGCTAGCTCAGAATTCCCGGCATCTTCACCTGGTCTCAGCTCGTCTCTTCATTCCCACTGAAGAGACTCTCGAGTCTGCCAGCCACAGTAGTAGCCACCACTGGCAGCTTTGTGTCACTTCGAACTGTTGGAATAAAAGTTCATTTTTCAGGAAAACTTTAGGAGAGCGCCTTAAATTAAATTGCCAGCGCGTAACCCTTTAATCTACTAAAAATGTCAGTTTCATACAGTTCAGCCTGGTGCTGTGCTACGATGCGGATGCGTTGGTGTCGTTCGCAATAGGAAATGCTTTGTTTGCCTGCCTAACGGGGGCCATTTTGGCTTTTATGATCACCGTTTTGCTTTCAGTTTTCCTTTGTGCCACTCCGTGGGGCTGAAGATAGTGGTAGTGCATGAGCCTTGAGTGTAGGAAGGGCTGGTTTGGCCCCTGTCAGATGCCCATCACTGCGTGCGCCACCTCCAGCTCTGCGGGGTATATGTCACCTTGAAGGTGTCAGCCCCAGTACCGAGGGGAGTGAGCCACTGTGGGGGTGGGAACGTGTTGTAGAGTATTCTGAGGAATCCATTGGGGTTTTCCTGTGTTTGGTTCAGTTTAGGGACAATGCTGGAGAAGATAATTAATTGAGTGTGTTGGAAAGCACATTATTTATTGATTTATGTAGGAGCACACTGTGGGGGTGCTCAGAGATCACTCCCAGGGGTGCTTGGGAGACCACGCGGTGCCGGGGACTGACCCGGGCTCCTGGTGGCAGAACCTGTGCCCCAGCCCTGAGCGCTGGTTCCGATGACGTGACCTTCAAGGGACTCTCGAGAAAGCCTTCGGGGAAGTGAGGGCAGGAACTCAGGGTGAATGGCTGATTTGCTTAACCCCTGTTCGCTTCAGTGCCCTGCCGAATTTCTTACTCATTATTAAGCATTACTTTTACGTTTTATCTTTTGTTTGGGGGCCACCCCTGGCTGTGCTTAGGACTTCTGGGGTGCTGGGGATTGAACCTGGGTTGGCCGAGTGCAAAACAAGCCCACTGCACTTTCTCTCTGGCCCCTATGCAATAGAGTTTGAATCCCACTTTTTTCTAATGAACTTGGCAGCAGTTTCTTCATAGTGGAACACAGAAATTAGTATTTGAATTGCCTTTATCTCCCAGCCATCATACTTTCCGGGTACTTATTTTGGTTTTAGGGCCTTTCCATGTGACATTAGGGATTGAACCCAGGGCTCCCTCATGCATTCAACCCTTTAAGCCTGCTTTTCTGCCGCTGCTTAATTTCTGACCCTTTCTGTCATGTGGTCAGAACCTGGTTTCTGGTCTCTCTTCTCCCGCAGAGCCTTAGAGCTGTGCTCAGTTGGTGAGAATAACAGACATCTGAAGACTGAAGACAGAGACTTGAGTGGAGGTGTAGCAATGTTGGAAAAGGCCAACTCACTTGGGATGTAGGTCTTGAATACATTCAATATTTTATTTCCTTTGCTCAGAATTGAAAAGACAAAAGAAAGCCCCCCCTCCCCATAGCATACAACTTTTTTTAAAATAAAAGCATAGCCAAAGGATCATTTTAATATTCATACTTATTTATGATTAGTGTTTTGAAGCATCTACATTGTGTATAGTCCTGGTAATAACCAGGCCCTGCTGGGGATCGTAAGTCTGGAAGCTGCCTGGCTCCATGTAATTAACTTCCGGGAAAGCTTACAGAGTCCACAGGTCACCTCCTACCCCTCATGAGAAGGACCCAGAGTTTGTTTTCTTTTTTTTTTTTTTTAAATTTTTTATTAGTGAAACACCACGAGGTACAGTTGTACAGAGTTTGTTTTTTTTCTAATGTACCTTGTTAAGTCATTACAAAAGTTGATTTTATTTAATCTGCAGTAGAGGAGATCCCTAAAACCTAACTTTAATTTTTCTTTTCCTTTTTTTTTTTTTTTTTGTTTCTGGGCCACAGCCTGCAGTGCTCATGACCTGTTCCTGCCTCTGTGCTCTGGAATCACTCCTGGCTGGACTTAGCGGGCTACATGGATGGGATGCTGGGAATTGGACCTGGGTTGGCTGTGTGCAAGGCAAACGCCTGACCTGCTGTCCTATCCCGCGGGCCCCTTAATTTTCCTTCTGAAATCTGTCCGTCTTGGAATATTGTTTTTCCAGATTATTTTTCTAAAAACATTTTTGGACTTTGGATTGCCCCTGTCAGTACTTGCGGTTTATTCCTGGCTCTGACTCCGGGCTCACTCCTGGCAGTGCTCTGCGCACTGTATGTGGTGTGGGGTGTAGAACCTGGGAGGGAGACAGCCAGGGCCGACAGCAATGGGAGTCTCCCCCCCCATCCCCCCACTCCATTCAGCCCCTTTCCAGATGAGTTTTTTTTTTTGCTTTTTGGGTCACACCTGGCGATGCACAGGGGTTACTCCTGGCTCTGCACTCAGGAGTTACTCCTGGCGGTGCTCAGGGGACCCTATGGGATGCTGGGAATCGAACCCGGGTCGGCCGCGTGCAAGGCAAACGCCCTACCCGCTGTGCTGTCTCTCCAGCCCCTTTCCAGGTAATTTTATCTGGCTTTCCTGCCATCTTCCTTGATCATTTTTCTTGTTTTTATAGGATAAAATAATGATTCTGATTGCAGAGCGCCTCAAGGCTCCCGTTGTGGTTTCAGCTTCCTAATTTTTGTTTTGTTTGGGGGCCCCATCTGGTGGTGCTCGGAGCACCCTGCTGGGTTCCTGCAGGGAGCTTGGCCGGGGACTGAGCTGAGTCCCCCGGGACTCCCCCGTCGAACTCGAACGGGAGCCGTCTGCAGCCCTCTGAGCTGTATCCTGGGGGCTGCTGTCAGATTCTTAACCGTACAAACGCCTTGCACCGTTTTCGAAAGTTAGTTCCTCTGTGACCGGCTTCCTTGTTCTCTGCTACACCCCCCATGACCCCTGTCACGGTTCTCAGAGCCTCTCGCCCACGTAGACGCGGACTCGTAGACGCGGGCTCGCTCCTGCCGCAGTACTCAGCCGGCACGCCTGCTGGGCTCTGGGATCATGCGGGGTTCGGGGGTCAGAGGCAGGTGTCTGACCCGCTGTAGCCCCCGCTCCCTGTTTTCTTTGCTGGAATACCCTCTTTCCTGGTTTTTTTTTTTTTTTTTTGTGTGTGTGTGTTTTAAAAATTTCAGTTCAGCTTAAGGGGCCAGAGAGATGGTTACAGGGGCTTAAGGCACTGGCTACACACAGCTGCCAGGGGAGACCCCTGAGCACAGAGCCAAGGTGAGCCCTGGGTGCCACTGGATGCCTGCCCCTTCCCTTAGCCCCTGTCCACCCCCCCCCCCCCCCAGTTAAAAAACTTACCTACAGTTCAGTGGCCTTCATTCTTCTCGTCTTTCCTTGATAGGCTTAATCAGAAATGATTTTCTCTCTTAATTTTACCCTCAGCCATGTGAAGTTGCAGCCATTTAAAAAAAAAAAGAATGGTATATTAATGGTATATAAATACCAACATTTATAGAAAGGGGGGAAGTTCACTCAGTTTAAAATGGAGGATTTTTGTAAAAGAGTTAAGCCTGATTTTCAGGGAGAAACGTTGGATGATTTACTTTCCATTCATCTTGGGAAATGGTCACTGGTGGAGGGATGTGTATTCAAAATAAATAAATCACTTATCACTTAATCACTTAACTTCCCGTTAGTCGTCGATTTGTTCGAGCGGGCGCCAGTAACGTCTCCATTTGTCCCTGTCGCGTGCTAGTGTAGCCCAATGGCATCTCTTCGCTCCGGGAACATGGAGGGCCTCAAACCGATAAATAAAATAAATAAGACGGAGGATTTTTGATGGAACATGCTTCTTTTCTCCCCACTTTATTTAGAGTTTTTATCTGGGTGTTGAATCTTGTCATGCCTTTTCGACCTTTGTTAGTGCACAGATTAAAAAAAAAAGTATTATATTGTGCTTTCACCGTAAGGTTAAATTATTTGGGATTTTTTCTTGTTTATTAATAAAGGTCTGTTTTCACTTTCCTCTTAGTACAGCTCTTACTGTGTCCCAAAGGTTTTGAAAATTTCCCCTCCCATTTTTATTTATCTCCAGATGGTTTTGAATTTTCTCCTTGATTTCCTTTCCTCCGTTTAATGGAGCTAATGGTTATTGAGAAGCATATTATTTTAGTGTCCAGTTTGCTTTCCAGTGGTTAATTTAAAGCCTTAGAGAATTGAAGTCAGAAGAAATGTATGATACGATTGCAGTCTTAAAGTTGACGGGAGGGAACAGACGATAGTACGGGGGGGAGGGCACCTCGCCTTGTGTGTTACCCGTGTGGATTCTATTTCCGGTACCACATGTGGTTCCCCGAGCCCCATCAAAAGTGATCCCTGGGCCCAGAGCCAGAGTTAGCCCTGAGCACCACTGGATGCACCCTCCCCACCCCTCCAAAAAAAACCCAACCCATACGATTGGGGGGTGGACAGATAGTACAACTGTAAGTAAGGCACCTTGCACCCTGCTAGCCCAGATCTATTGCTGTCATCACATATGGGCCAAACCCCTGAGCACCAATGAGTATGGCTCACCCTCCCCCCAAATGTTTTTTGATACTTTTTTTTTGGGGGGGGGGGGCTTTATAGGTCTTACCCGGAGATACTCAGGGGTTCCTCCTGGCTCTGCACTCAGGAATTACCCCTGGCGGTGCTCGGGGGACCATATGGGATGCTGGGAATTGAATCCAGGTTGGCCGCGTGCAAGGCAAACGCCCTACCCGCTGTGTTATCACTCCAGCCCCTTGATACATATTTTCTGTCTTTAAGTGTTCCGTATGCACTTGAAATATGTAAATCCATATGTTTTGGGGTAAAATATCCCATAAATGCCGTTAAACTTGTGATTTAGTTTATCACTTCAGGCCGTTGGTTCTCTTTTCATCTCTCCGTGGTCAGATGAAGTAGTTCCAGGTGGGGTACCTTTTGAGTGGTGAATCCATACCATTAATGTTTAGGGAAATTGCTTATTAATTTTTCCATTGCTTTCAGGAAGAAAAAAATCTAATCTTTGTAACTTTTTAAAGCTAATGGAGAAGAAAATAAATTTAGCAAAATGATAAAAATGACCTTTTTCTTACAGATTGTCTCATGTTGGCACAGGACAGTGTTCCTTTCTGTCAGTTGTGTCATCAACTTGATTTTAGACTTGTAAATACTTGCACTGAAGAGGCTGGAGTATGAATATGATGCTAGAAAATCAGTTGTTTGAACCTTCCTTAGCATGGGGAGAACACTAAGTAAAGACCAAATGATGCATATCAATTACATGTTAATACATTTCTTTCCAGAACCTACCTTCCGGATCATCCCGTGTTGGAGCCATTAAACTCACCTACATTTCCAAGGTAGCTTTTGTTTCTCTCAGACTTTGCTTTCATGTGTAAATTAAAATGTCCTGTGTGTGAACAAGCACCACGGTGTCCTTTGGGTTTCCTGTTCCAGTCTCTGTGAAGGTCACTGTGTCTGGGAGGCGCCCTGACTAATTAGGGAGAGGATGGGGAACATTGCAGAAGCCTTCACCTCGTGGTCCGGTACATGAGCATCCTAAGGAGAAATCCACGAACAAGTCGATTGTAGCTTGGGGAAGTGTGGGGACTTGGACCCAGAGGGGGTCTAAGTTTGTTCCATGTATTTCTGATATTTATTTCTGTTTTCCCTTTGTTTTATATTGAACAGTATAAACCGTCTTAATAATGAAAGGGTGATTTTTTTTTCTCTTTATTTCACTTTTTTTCTATTGTTTTCTTCTTTGGGCTCTCATTTTTTTTGCAAGACCGTTATTGTGGTTTTTTTTTTTTTTTTTTTGCTTTTTGGGTCATACCTGGCGATGCTCAGGGGTTACTCCTGGCTCTGCACTCAGGAATCACCTCTGGAAGTGCTCAGGGGACCATATGGGATGCTGGGAATCGAACCCGGGTCGGCTGTGTGCAAGGCAAACGCCCTACCCACTGTGCAATCTCTCCAGTCCCAGGACCGTTATTGTTTTAAGAAATTTAGGGTCAGGACATATTTTTTTAGCAGGTTGTTTTATCCCCCCTTTATTTTCTCATTTTTTGTACTGGAGTTTCGGGGATGGAGAGGTCAAGGAGGTGGCGCTGTGTGATGTCTGTGAATGACTCACTGCAGGCCAGAGCTTGGTCACTGCTCAGGAAGTCGGATGAATAGTGCATGTGCATATCACTTTTCACAGATTTGTCAGCAAAGGTCTTCAGGACCAGTTTGCAGTGTGCCTCTGTCTGAAACACTTTTTTTTTTCCACACCTAGAGATGCTTAGGGGTTACTCCTGGCTCTGCAACTCAGGAATTACTCCTGACGGTCCTTGGGGGACCATATGGGATGCCGGGGAGGGAACTCAGGTCAGCCGTGTGCAAAGCAAACGCCCTACCCGCTGTACTATTACTCCGGCCCCCTACAACACCTTTTGTTTTTCTTTTCTTTTTTTTTTTGGCGGGAGGGGCCCATATCCAGTGGCTCAGGGCTTTCTTCTGCCTCTGTGCTCAGGAATCGCATGTGGTGGTGTTCAGGGGCCCATCTCTGGTGCCGGGAATCACGGACCACGTGCCGGGCAGGCGCCCTAACCTCGCTGCTCTCTCCCCAGCCCTACACAGACTTGTGTTTGTGAATGTAATACTTTGTTATCAGTATCACAATAGCTGTTTATTCTCATTGACCAAAACACAGAAGTCTAGAACTTCTAGGGCCATAGAGTTAAAGGGAGGCTTTTTGTGAGCAAGCCCTGTTATGTTAATTGACCAAAGGGAACTGTTTGGAAACACTGCTTAAGTGTTCTGCAAATTAAGGTATTTAATAAGCGCTCAGCCTGAATTCATAGAGACGAATAGGAGCAAGCCAAGCGCAGGATTCCACCGGGAAGGGGGCTGTAGGTCTCCAACAATGCAAGTCTGTTTCATTGCCTGGAGTTCCTGCTGTATAATGCGAGTGTAACGTCACACTTGCGACGCGCTGACCAGCTTCAGGAGAGCAGGCAGGGCAGGAAGAGGCCGCTGATCTGCCTGGACCTCAGCTTCTTACTGCCTAGTCTTTCTATTCGCGTTTATCTTTATGTTCTTAAAGTTGTAAACACCGGGATTTACAAAGGCATTCATAGTGCAGTTGTTTTGGGCGTCCCTTCTCCAGCACCGCTGCCCCCATCAGGGGGACCTTCCACTGCAGTGGCACCAGTGTCCTCAGTCCCCCTCCCCCCACACCCCACCCACAAACAGATTAACTTCACACTGCATGTCTTTTTTTTTTTTTTAATTTTTTTTTGCTTTTTGGGTCACACCCGGCAATGCACAGGCATTACTCCTGGCTCCTGGCTTTAGCACTCAGAAATTACTCCTGGAGGTGCTTGAGGGACCCTATGGGATGCTGGGAATCGAACCCGGGTCGGCCGCGTGCAAGGCAAATGCCCTACCCGCTGTGCTATCGCTCCAGCCCCCTGCCTCGACTTTTTAAACATACAGTGTCACCTCACTGAAGCGGGCGGACGGATGACTTGTACTGGAGTTTCGAGGATTGAGAGAGGTAAAGGAGGTTGCCCTGTGTGATGTCTGTTAAGGACTCACTGCAGGGGAGAGCTTGGCCACCCGGCCCTCCACTGCTCTCATTAAACTTGAACCTTCCCTGTCGTCCCCTGCCCCGTTCCGCGGCCTGCTGAAGTTGGACTTGTATACTTTGTACTCACTTTAGACATGCCGCTTTTTTTTTTTCCTCCAGAATTTATTCCTGGAACAGATTTTTTTTTTTCACTGTGACTCAGAGCTCTGAGTTTGTGGTCAGGATTGGTCGGGAACCCCAGACTCCGAGTTCTGTTGGAGGGTAGAAAGCAGACGTGCCAGCCCTCCTGCTGGGCACCGTGTGGCAGGAGAAGCCTGGTGGGACAGCGGCCACGGCCCCGAGCAGCTGCCCACCTCATGTGGCGTCCGGCCGGCACGAGGCCACGGCCCCTGGTCCCCGTTGTCTCTTCTTGTCACAGATCCGTGCCTGGGGGTTTTGGCTGTTTTTTTTTTTTTTTCTTTTTGGGTCATACCCGGCGATGTACAGGGGTTACCCCTGGCTCATGCACTCAGGAATTACTCCTGGCAGTACTCGGGGGACCATATGGGATGTTGGGAATCGAACCCGGGTCGGCCGCGTGCAAGGCAAATGCCCTACCCGCTGCGCTATCACTCCAGCCCCGGTTTTGGCTCTTCTAAAGGAAGGTTCTCCTCTTTCCCCACTCCCTCGTTGTCTCTGCCAGTTCTCTGCTAATTTAGAATCATGCAATTTGGGAAGAATCCATAGCTTCCGGGTCGTCTCGATGGAGGATATATTGAAAATGGAATCAGGCTCTCTGTGTGACATAGAGCAGAACAGTTTATACTCCACTTCTTCACATTCCCTTGGAGAGAAATTGGCTCCAAGAGAACACGGAGGATAATCATTTGCCTTAAACGTCCTTGCTTGCCGTTGGGACCCACATTATATTGTGAATTTGTGGTTCCTCTTTGGCGCTGTTAGCTCTGTGGTTCCTGGGAGGCCCCGTCCCTGCCGTGGATGGTCTGTGGCTGAGTGTCGTGCCCTGTGGAGGACTGAGTGACTCATCCCTCTTTTTCTGCTAGGTTAGCGATGCCACTAAGCTGAGGCCAAAGGCTGAGTACTGTTTCGGTAAGTAGTCATCTTTTACGCTTGTTATGATCTCACGCACTACAGAAAACACTCCTGTCTGGGGCGGGGGTAAGGCTGGTGGGGGGTAGGGCCGGGGGTAGGGCAGGGGCTTGCCTTGCAGGCCGCTGCCTCTGCTGTGAGCCCGGCTCGGTCCCCAGCACCACTCAAGGTCCACAGAGCTGAGCCCCGGCTTCTTCCTCCTCCCCACCCCCAACCACGGAAAGAACCAAGATAGCAGTCACAGACATCGAGTAACGCTCAGCTGTGGTTCACTGAGTGCTTCTCGGGCAGAGCCCCGTGACGGTCGCCTTGCATCCACCGAAGAAAGGGGCTCTTCCTCGTGTGCCCCCAGGCCCAGCCCTCTCCCTCGCCCATGCCCATAGTGTGGAGCCAGTTGAGGCCCCTCATGCCACCTCACAGCCAGGTGCTGGTCTGTGTGCGGAGCCGACACCGTGGGTCAGAGAGAGTGGCCCGGGCCATGCTGGGCCTCATCACCATGTTGGTATCACTGGCGGGCTGGACATTGTGCGGTCCATGGAAGCAGCAGAAAAGAAGGGCCTCGCTGTCGGGGTCCCGGAGGGACGGGGGCCCAGATGAATGGGGCCTTGCCCGAGCTGTCAGCGGGCTTTGATCATTCAGTGGGGGACCCTCAGGCAGAGGCAGGGGGGAGCATGCACGGTATTTGCTGCAGGGGCTGGGGAGAGGGAGAGGGAGAGCCAGGAGCCAGGCCGTGTTGCGTGGACAGGCAGGGGTTTTGGTGGGGCGAGACGTTCTGGAGGATGCGGCTGCAGGTGCATCAGGTGAGGGGTCTGATCGGTCCGGCGGGAACGCAGTGAAGACCAGAGAGATGAGGGAAAGCATCGGACGGGGCGAGCAGGGAGTCGGAGGCGGCTGGGAGGGAGCAGAGGTGAGAGGGTGGGGCACAGAAATGGGGAAAGTCACCCGGGGAGGGCTGGGGTGCTGGGTTGGGAAGGAGCTTGAGGCGGGCAGCGTCACAGCGGGGGGGGGGCTGAGGATGGGATGAATGAGCGCGGGGATCGCTAGTGGACACATGGGGCGTCTGCTCCGAGAGCGGGTAGAAGTTCCGCGGGAGAGCTGATGGCTCGGCTCTGAGAGAGGAACAGGACCGAGGGAAGTCAGGGCTGGCTCAGGGCTGGCTGACAGCGGGAGGAATTCTTTTTTTTTTTTTTTAAATTTTTTTTGCTCGAGCGGGCCCAGTAACGTCTCCATTGGAGACTTTGTTGTTACTGTGTCTGGCATATCCAATACTCTCGGTAGCTTGCCGGGCTCTCCGAGAGGGGCGGAGGAATCGAACTCGGGTCGGCCAGCTACCGAGAGTATTCGATATGCCAGACACAGTAACAACAAAGTCTCCAATGGAGACGTTACTGGGCCCGCTCGAGCAAACCGATAATCAATGGGAGGGCCCTTAATTTTTTTTATTTTATTGAATCACCGTGAGATAGTTACAAGCTTTCATGTTTGGGTTACAATCACACAATGATCAAACACCCATCCCTCCACCAGTGCACATTCCCCACCACCAATATCTCCGGTATTTCCCCCTTTTCTCACTCTCCCCCTGCCTCCATGGCAGACAGTCTCCCCCATACTCTCTCTCTGCTTTGGGGCATGATGGTTCGCAGTGCAGATACTGAGAGGTTATCACGTTTGGTCCTTTATCCACTTTCTGCACACACCTCCCATCCCGACCGGTTCCTCCAGCCATCATTTTCTTAGTGATCCCTTCTCCGTTCCAGCTGCCTTCTCCCCTTTGCTCATGAGGCAGGCTTGCAGCTAGGGAGCAGTCTTCCCGTCCCCTGTATCTACTCCCCTTAGGTGTCAGCCTCATGTTATGTTGCTTTGTACTCAGCGGGAGGAATTCTCTAAACTGAAGTCCGAAAGGTACTTTCTGGGCTAGGTGTTAACGGTTCTTTGAAAAGGGGAGTTTAGGGTCCTGGGGTTGTAGCTCACTTAGAGAGCACTTGCTGTGTGCATGCATGGCCCTGGGTTCAGTCCCCGGCACCACCTTAAAACACTTTAGAAGACAGAGGTTGGAAAGATAGGTTAGGGGTTAAGGGACTTGCTTGCAGGCAGCGGACTTGGTTCAGTCCCTGGTACTGCACAGAGCCAGGAGGAGGCGGGAGGAGGGACTTGCTTGGCTGTAGGAGGAGCCAGTGGAGTCGGAAGCGTTGGGATTAGCGTCATGTGCGGGAATGGGACGGTGCGGCTCTGCGTTAGGGTTCCTTGCCCGGAGGAGGCGAGGCACAGGGAGGTCTGTACTCTGAATGCGGTGCCCTCCTGCCGCGCCCTGCTCTAAGGGCATTTCTCAGAGAAGAGCTTGCCAGGTGGGGGCGGGGCGGCCAGCAGTCCTGCCCGGACAGAGGACAGAGGAGCCATTCCAACCTGGAATTTAGCACCTCAGTGTAAGAGGGGATTAGACCGCCTTCCCCACACCCCCCACTTCCAGAGGGAAAATTGTCACATGTATGACAGCGAGCAGGGAGGCGATTGAAGACTCAGTAGAAAAAGTTGAATTGAAAAGTGGAAGGAGGATAAGATACATACCAAGAGAGAGATAGGACAGGATGGGAGAGGCCCCGCCATGGAAATCCAGCAGCTGAAGAATACGATGGTAGAAAAGGATGAGAGCGAGGAAGAAAATTCCAGAGAAAATCGACTAGGAAGTTCTAAACGGGGCTGGAAGGTGCTCAGGGAGCGGGGCACATGCTTTGCATGGGTGCCGGGTGGCACTGGCCCCCAAGGACCCCAGCTGGGCATCCCCCAGCCTGGCCACTGTACCCCGAGCACTGCCGTGTGGCTCCCAGACAGATAAGCCCCCCACAGTGTTGAAGGAGGACTGGGATTTACAGCTTCAGCTGAAATAAGAATCTTTAGGGATCTCTCCTGATCCCTCCCAAGTTCCCGTCTCCCAACCCAGCAGGTGACAGTACCCCCAGGTAGGCAGTACTCCCAGGTAGCCAGTATTTCCTGTGGTCCCAGCAAGGCAGGTAGTAGTACTCCCCTTGGTCCCCCAGAGCGGCAGGTAAGCAGTACTCCCAGGTAGGTAGTACTCCCAGTAGGCAGTACTCCCCGTGGTCCCAGTATGGCATGTAGCTGTGCTCCCCGTGCTCCCAGCACGCCAGGTAGCAGTGCTCCCACTGGCAGGGACCGTCCCTAGGAAGCTCAGGCTCCCACCTGTGTGTCCCGGAGCTCAGGTCACAGAGGTAACTCAGATGCCAGTGACCAGCGCAGGTGAGAGGGCTATTGGACAAGGTGGCCTTTGCGTACGGACGCCTGCTTGTGCCGGAATGGAAATGAGCTCAGCTTTTGGGGAAGAGACTTTGTCAACATATAAGCGGATATTAATTGTGAATTTCCTGGTCCAGCGTGTCTGCATTAAGAAATTTATGCTGTAGGGGCCGGGGGTGTGGTTCATTCCTCAGCACTGAGAAAAAGAAGAGGAGAGAGAAGAGGAGAGGAGAGGATGGGAGGGGCAGGGGAGGGCGAGAAGGGAGAGAGAGGAGAGGGGTAAGGGAGGGAAACCAGCTTTGTCTGTGGGCTGGAGAGATGGCGCAGTGGGCGGCTCACCTGCCTTGCATGCGGCCAACCCAGGCTCAGTGCATGGAGCCGCCTGGGGTTCTCCAAGCGTGGCCAGGAGTGAGCCCTGAGCGCTGCTGCCTGCCGCCCCAAACCGAGATCTACACTGTCGAACTGCTAGCCCGAGTACAAAGAAACGTATGTGTGTTGTGTTCAGAATTGAAAAAAGCCTAAATGTCTGTGACTAATTGAGGTGTATTCTTTTAATGAAAAAGATGGAACCATGCAAAAGAACTTCCACCTTTGAAAAATAAGTGGTAAGATGTATTACGTCTGTTTTGACAGTTTCTTGAATCCTGGAGATTCACTATACGGGATGGAGCCATGGTACAACGGCAAGGATGCTTACTTGCATGTGGCCGACCTGGGTTGGCTCCCCGGCATCCCATATGGTCCCCCAAGCATTGCCAGGAGTGATTCTTGAACTCAGAGTCAGGAGTAACCCCTGAGCACCGTTGGGGGTGATTCCCCCAAATCAGAACAACAACAAACCTAGAGATTCATGATATTGAACCTAGCAGCAGAGATTTTAGGTGTCCGAACATGAATTTTGAGATAGCAGATGCAAAGTTTTGTATATCTAATTTTTGTTCTCCGCAGTTATGAATGCAGGAATGAGGAAATACTTCCTACAAGCCAATGATCAACAGGACCTAATAGAATGGGTGAATGTATTGAACAAAGCTATAAAAATTACAGTAAGTATGTTGCTTTTTTTTTTTTTTAATGTCTGGAGATAGATGCTTGCCTTTTGAAAACACACCTTATGGAATGTCCCCAGCTTACCAACAGGTTGCATGTTCAGAGTCTGTTTCAGAGGGAAGAGGAGCTCACTGGTAAAGCTCTGGTCTTGATGTGCGGCCTTGGGTTCCATCCTGGGTCCTGCTAAAGAATGAAGTCAGCCCGCCCCTCTGTCTCTCTGACCTGTTAGGGGTAGATACTCAGATCTCGAGCCCTGCCTGGGATGGGTGTTAGATTGGGGAGGGGTCGAGTGAGCATCAGGGCAAGGGGAGGGGGACAACTTAGAAGTGAGGGGCTGGGGTGGAGATTGTCCGGATCTGAAGTCCGGTGCTGACCGGCGGGCCCCGCCCACGTCCCGGGGAGCTTCTCTCACCCGCGTGCTCTTAAGGGTTCCAGGGCTCGGTGCTGATTTCCCGTGCCCAGCTTTCTGCTTTCTGGCTAAGCTGCTCTTATGAACGTTAATACAGGGTGCTGGGCGACCGGAGAGTCCCCTTAGCTTCGAGGGAAGTGCGCCTTCGAAGGGTGCGTGATGTTGGCAGGCCTCCTGACTGGGAGGGGCGGAGCCCAGCCCGCACGTTGGAAAGAGTTTCTAGGCTGTCTAGGTGGGTCCGTGTTGTCAGAATAGCCTGGGCTCTCTCCTAATCCGCACCTCGTTTTCCGAGCCATCCGTCCTCAGAGGGAGCGTCACTTGGAAGTTAGTCACTTGGAAGTTGACGTCTCAAGCGGAGGGTTTCGTGTTTGTATCACAACACAGCAAAGAGTTAACCTAAGTCAAGCTGTTCTCGGCGCTGAGCCCCTTCTTTCTCTGGCGCCAGAACAGCCTGTTAGCACATGGCAGAGGACGCCCACACGCTCCGATCCGCTCACGACGCACAAGTTATTTTAGGGCTGCTGCCGTGGCAGGGGGCGAGTTTTCAAGCTGGTTCAGAAACACGCGTTATTAAAGGATTCTTCACTGACTTGGTATTTGGAAAATTTCTCCGGGAAGATAAAACAGAATGACGCCACTGACTGTGTGGTTTACGGTTTGCAGTAGTGGCAGTACCGGGTGCTAGGGAGTGCCGGCCGTGAGGGTCTGTCCTCTGGGATCCTGGTGCTGCTCTGTTTTTGTTTGGGGGTCATACCCTGTGGTGCGCCGGGATCACCCCTGGCAGAGCTCTGGGACCGTGTGGGGAGCCAGGGATTGAACCTGGGTCGGCCGCATGCAAGGCAAGCGCCTTACCTGCTGTGCTGTTTCTCCGGTCCCTCATTTTTACTAATGATAGGAAACTCCACAAAAGACCCGTTAGCTTATTTGAATGTCAGAGTAATCGGGTTTGAGTAATAGTTTAAACTTAGGAAGACATTCTAATAGTATCTGTAGTCTTTCAGCCTTACTTGCATTTCAAAATATAAATATGTATAAAAGAAACAAAAATCTTTGCCTTGTAAACAGAGTGATTATAACTTGATCAGGGTAAAGTAGACTTCCTAGGCCTTGAGAAAGCTGTTTTTTCCAGATGTGCATCAGACGCAGGGCAGTTGTGAGCATCCCTGCATAGTAAGTTGCTTTTCTTCTTTTTTTTTGTATTTATTTTATTTTGTTTTGTTTTTAAATTTTATTATTATTATTATTTTTCTTTTTGGGTCACACCCAGCTTTGCACAGGTGTTACTCCTGCCTCATGCACTCAGAAATTACTCCTGGCGGTGCTCGGGGGACCCTATGGGGTGCTGGGAATTGAACCTGGGTCAGACGCGCGCAAGGCAAATGCCCTCTCCGCTGTGCTGTCGCTCCAGCCCCTTCTTTTTTATTTTTTTTTTTAAGATTAAAAAAAAATCACTTTTTCTTTTCCAAAGACTTTCGTCTTTCCTGTTGGGCTGGAGGGATAGTCCTGAGGCCACGGTGCTCCCCTTGCATCTACAGGACCCCAGTTCAGTCACTGACTCTGCTTCCTGAGCACAGCGGGGTGTGACCCCCCCCACCCCTCCATTTCCCCCCATATTGCAGCTTTTCTCCCCATGGCTGCTGGGAGCTAGGGAGGAAGCGGATTGCAGGGTTCTGGGCCCCTAGCAGACGTTCTGGGCCCCAGAGGGAAGGCCTTGTCCTTAGTTGTTTTGCCTGTTAGTGTTTACTGGTAGCCACATGTAAAACCTGAATCAAGAAGATCGAAATCCCAGAAATTTTGTGACTGTGAATGTTTCAGGTTTTTGTCAATCCCTGTCATCGTTCCTTATTTCATTCACGGCTCCATTTTCTAATCATTGTTACCTTTCGAACGGTTGGGATCGTGTATAAATGCCTGATTAAAAAGGAATTACGGCGGGGCTGGAGTGATAGCACAGTGGGTAGGGCGTTTGCCTTGCACGCAGCCAACATGACCGACACAGGTTCGATTCCCAGCACCCCATATGGTCCCCAGAGCACCGCCAGGAGCAATTCCTGAGTGCATGAGCCAGGAGTAACCCCTGAGCATCGCCGGGTGGGACGCAAAAAGAAAAAAAAAGGAATTACGGGCTGGAGCGATAGGGCAGTGGAGAGGGCGTTTGCCTTGCATGTGGCTTGGGGGTCAATCCCTGGCATCCCATATGGTCCCCCGAGCACCGCCAGGAGTAATTCCTGAGTGCAGAGCCAGCACTACCACCCCCTACCACCTCCCGGTACTCTCCCAGTACTACCCAGTACTACCTCCAGTACCACCTCCCAGAACCGCCTCTCAGAACCTCCACCAATGGCAGCAACCACAGTTCTTTTTAAACATCATGCAGTGCTGGGGCTGGAGAGATAGCACAGCGGGTATGGCGTTTGCCTTGCACACGGCTGACCCGGGTTCGATTCCCAGCATCCCATAGGGTCCCCTGAGCACCGCCAGGAGTAATTCCTGAGTGCAGAGCCAGGAGTAACCCCTGAGCATCGCCGGGTGTGACCCAAAAAGGAAAAAATATATATATACATAAATAAACATCACGCAGTGCTTAGGGGAGACTCAGAAGTGTTCAGGGCACAGTCCCTTGGCTCCTTCTTTCTTTCCCGCCTCGCTCCGTTTCTGCCGGGGATCGTATCGTGCTGTGAATTGAGAGGGTGGAGGGTCGGCGCGGGCCTGAGGAGGCAGGCAGGCTCAGAGGACAGCCGGGCTCAGGGCGGAGAAGAGAGGGGACTTGCGGAGCCACTGAGCTCAGGCCCCTCCGACACAGTGTGTTCATGTGGGCTGGGATTGGCCAGGATTCCACAGGCAGCTTCTCAGTAAGCCCTGTCCTCGCGCTCCATCGTCAGAGCAACCGTTGGTCACAGTGGGGAGTGCAGGCTCTGCAGCGGGGGGTGGGGGGTCACGTCTGGGCGGGGGGGGTGGGGCGCAGGCTCTGTGCGGGCTTTGTCCAGGCACGGTGTACAGACCCCCCAGAACCCTCTGCTGCTTCTGCTGAAGTAGAGTCTTGGGGGTTGCAGCGGGGATTTTCTGAATCAGTTTCAGGGAGCTGAGCCCGAACGTTCTGGGGTACCACACGCTGCAGCTGTGTGCCTGGGTGAGAGCCATCCCTGCACCGTCACAGTGCTCTGCTATTAGGCACCACTGTATGACAGGCCGGGCATTTCATTTCAAAGGGAAGGTTTCTACGCCGCCAGCTCTGTCAGTAGAATGTGTCAGAATGTTCCTGCAGGGTCCTCGGATGCCCTCAGTCATCGAGGGGAAGTTAGATCATGTTCACCGTGATGCTTGCCGTGCAGACTCAGACTTTCTTTCAGAGGCTTGACTGACAGTTCATGTACGCATGACGTGAAACTGCCGAGATACAGAAGCCTCGATGAACCGCATGTCTTTGTCCTTGGTTGGGGCACGTTAGAAGAGCTAAAATACATACTTTGATTCGTTGCTTCTCCTGTGTGAAGGCGCTCTGTCACTGTCACTGTCACTGTCCTCCTGTCGTTCATCGATTTTTGCTCGAGCGGGCCCAGTAACATTGTGAGACTTGTTACTGTGTTTGGCATATTGAATATGTCACGGGGAACTTTGCCAGGCTTTGTGCCATGTGGGCGAGATACTCTAGGTAGCTGGCCGGGCTCTCTGAGAAGGGCGGAGGAATCGAACCCGAGTCAGCCATGGTGGTCGCTTGCAAGGCAGACGCCCTACCGCTGTGCTATCACTCTAAGCCGTGAAGGGGCTCAAGTATGAAATTTGCCACAGTGACCGGTAGTTTGTACTTGTGATTTAAGGTTGATACAAATATTAGAATTCTATTTAAAAAAAATCTTACGGGCCAGAGCGCTAGTAGAGTGAACTCGGCATTTGCCTCGCGTGGGTGACCTGGGTTCGAACCCTGGCCGCCCATATGAATGCCAGGCACTACCAAGAGCGATCCTTGAGTTCAGAGACCCTGAGTACCACTAGCTGTAGCCCCCAAGCAAACAGATGAAAAAAAATTCTCCTAAACAAGCAATGTACTGTGATGGTCGAGTGTGGAGGAGCTGTTCTGTCCTCACTAGGCTGTAGCACGGCCAGGATCTGGGCCCACGGTCTGATCTGTCGGGAGCCTGTTTTCTGGCCACTGCAGCAGAGAGACTGCCCCGTGCTGGGGGTGGGGGTGGGGTGGGAGGAAGAGGGGAGAAAATTCACAAAACAGTGCTTGCTCCAGGCACTCGACAAATGAGAGCTGGGTTATAAAGCATCACTAGCAGAAAAATTAGCAGGAGAAGTGAACTAGGTATACACACACACACACACACGCACATACACAGTCTCTCTCTCTCTCTCTCTCTCTCTCTGTAAGTTGTGTGTCAATGGAAGATCATTGCACGGTCTTTTAGAAAAGGGCCTCTTACATAATGGCAGTAGCAGAATGACTCATGACTTATTTTAGGTACCAAAGCAGTCCGACTCCCAGCCCCATCCTGATAATCCGAGTCGTCCAGGGGAGTGTGGGAAGAAGCAGGTGTCCTACAGAACTGACATCGTCGGCGGGGTGCCCATCATCACCCCGACCCAGGTGAGAGTCGCCTGCCTTCCTCTCTGCCTCCTGCTCGCGTTGTGGCCAGGTCAAGTGGCGCCCCTTGGCTGCAGAGACCCCCCCCCCCCCCCGCCTCTGTAAAATCACCTTTGCTTCTGATCTCACAAGTGCGTGTTTATTATAAAACACAGAAATCACTTTGCATGATTTCTCCCCACCTTCTGTGTGCTTTTGTGTTCAGAAACAAGATTTGTGAGGGCCGGGGAGATAGCACAGCGGGTGGGAATCACTCCTGGTGGTGCTTAGGGGACCGTGTGGGGTGCTGGGGATCGAACCCTGGTTGCCTGTGTGCGAGGCAAGCGCCCTCCCCACTGTACTGTCTTGCAAGGCAAGCTTCTTGCCCAGCTCCTAACCCACTGTGCTATCTCCGGCCCCAGTTTAGGAATTCTTAAAAATCACGGCAGAGCCTGGCAAGCTCCCTGTGACGTATTGGATATGCCTAACACAGTAACAACAAAGTATCCAATGGAGACGTTACTGGACCCTCTCGAGCAAATCGATGAACAACGGGAGGACAGTGACAGGACAGTGAATATTCCTTAGGGTTGGTTGATTTATGGAATTTTAGATGATCGCATCTTGTATATAAATAGAAAGCCAATGTTTTGGGAGATGAAAATTTGAATATAGTTTTTTTTTAAAACAAACAAACAAACAAACTGGACTTCAACTATATAAATAATAAAGCTTGGGCCGCAGAGGTAGTATCAGGGTTAAACTGTTGTTTTGCGTGCACCTGAGCCCAGTGCGGTTCCTGGCACTGTTTATCATCACCCCCCCCCCCCCCCCCCCCCCCCGTGGCCTCTGGGCACACAAACCAGGGTGACCCAAAGGCAAAAACCAAAGGGAAACAGAAAACCACAAAACTTAAGAGAAAACTTTTGAGAAACTTGAGCTTACATGTAAAAATGCAGTTTCATGCGAGGAAAAATTTGATGAAATGTTCCGTAAAATACCGTCAAGAGGGTTGAAAGCCCTTGGGAGAATATATTTGCAAATCACCTACTCGATAAAGCTTTTACAGCAAGAGTATATAAGGAATTATCAAAACTCAATGGTAAAAAAAGAAAAAGAAACCCAGACGAAAAATCCCAAACAAACCAAACAGATATGACCAAAATCCATGAGTAGAAATCCCATCGGGGGGGCTGGAGCGATAGCACAGCAGGTAGGGCGTTTGCCTTGTACGCGGCTGACCCAGGTTCGATTCCCAGCATCCCATATGGTCCCCTGAGCACCGCCAGGAGTAACTCCTGAGTGCAGAGCCAGGAGTAACCCCTGTGCATCGCCGGGTGTGACCCAAAAAGCAAAAAAGAAAGAAAGAAAGAAAGAAATCCCATTGGGGCCTGAGAGATGGTATAGCGGATAGGGCCCTTGCCTTGCCACATGGTGGATCCAGGCTCGATTCCCAGCACCCCAGTTGGTCCCCTGAGCCCACCAGGAATGATTCCTGAGTCTACAGAGCCAGGAGTAAGCCCTGAGTAACTCAGGGTATGCCTCCACACCGCCGCCCACAAAGCAGGGGCGGGGGGTGTGGACTTCAGCAGAAGACAAACGTGTGGGGTGCAGGGCGGAAGCCTGTGATTTGCAGCCCCTGGCGAGCACTTCGGCCGCCTGTGTTTTTCGAGCTGGACGAAGACGGGTGCGCAGATTGGCAGTAAGATAGGGCGAGGGGCACGTTTGCTTTTTTAACGACGTAGGCAAGAGAAGAAAGACTTCCTGTGACTCTGCTTGGTTTCAGAAAGAAGTCAGCGAGTGTGGCGAGAGCGTCGACCGGACTAACTTGAAGCGCTCCCAAAGCCACCTTCCCTACTTCTCGGCCCGACCGCCTCCCGACAGCGCCGTCATCAAGGCCGGCTACTGCGTGAAGCAAGGCGCCGTGGTGAGTCGCCCCGCGGGCCCTGCGGCCTGGTGGGCAGCGCGGGCACTCGCACCGTGGGAGGGAGAGGCCGGCGGGCTACGGAGAGGGCGGGGGGGGGGCTCCCCGGCAGGAATGGGCCCTCGATGCTCCAGCCGATCTGCTCTCTGAGCACTGGGCCAGGAGGATGCCTCTCCCCACTGAGAAACAAGTCTGAACAGGCTTTCCTGGCAATTTGCACGTGAGGCAGGAAGTTTGTGGTGCTGGATCTGTGCCTGGAGAGAGAGAACGCCCAGTGGCAGCCCTGCACGCGGGGCAGGGGGTTGGGGGGTCCGGGACTGGCCTTGAACGGCGTGCCGCCTGGTCAGTCGTCCGGATCTCTCCGAAACCTGAGTGTTTCTGGGGGCGTGGACGGGGCCCCAGCACTGCCCTCACCCGCCCCCCAGAGCTGCCCTGAGCAGCCGGGGCTGGAGCAACCGCCTCACTGTTCTTTGCTTTCCCTTTTGGCCCTCGGGCCTGCAGTGCCCGGGCTCCCGCTCTGTGCAGGAGGGGTGTCTCTGGATTCAGAGCGTGGGCTCCAGCCCGCCCTCACCCCTGTTTCTCACAGTTCCAGCCAAAGTCACTTTCTGAGATTTTCATCGTTCTGTGAGAGATAACTCTACACTTTAAAAAAATTTTTTTTAAAAAAATTAATTCATTTTTGCTTTTTGGATCATACCCGGGGTTACTCATGGCGTTGAACTCAGGAATTAATTACTCCTGGTGGTGCTCGGGGGACCATATGAGATGCTGGGAATTGAACCCGGTTTGACCGCGTGCAAGACAAACGCCCTCCCCGCTGTGCTATTGCTCCAGCCCTGCTAACTCTTCACTTTCATGTGGAGACAGATGTGAAGTTGGGAAAGCAATCATGCCCGACGAGTTCAGTTGTCGTGACTTCACATCACTCTCTCGTGATTCTCTGTCACGAAGGCCCTTCAAGCCCCCCGTTGTTACGGGCCGAAGGAGGTGGCCCAGGGCCTGCCTGCAGGTCAGTGCACAGGCCGTGACTCTCTGAAGGATTTTTCGGGCTTTCAAAGAGCCATGCTGGGTTGTCACTCTTTTTTTTTCTGGGGGGTCACACCCGGCGATGCACAGGGGTCACTCCTGGGTCTGCACTCAGGAGTTATTCCTGGCAGTGCTCAGGGGACCCTATGGGATGCTGGGAATCGAACCTGGGTTGGCCGCGTGCAAGGCAAACGCCCTACCCGCTGTGCTATCGCTCCAGCCCCTGGGTGGTCACTCTTAAGTCTAACCTGCCAGTTCCACGAGATACTAGAATACTTTTCAGTACAGCTACATTTCACTGGCAAGCAATGTTTGCACAGAGCAGATTCCCCGTGTTGCCTTACTGAAGTAGAGTACGTGTAGAAAGATTCACACGTTCTCCGGACGGAGAAACTCGATGTGGCTCAGTACCATTTCCTGTGTTTGCTCTTAAGCTCCACAGCGTTTACATGGCGGGGGCGGGAGGGAGGGGCTGGGCAAGTGCTATTCTGGGGGTGACCAAGGATTAAAAATACGTTGCAAACTCATATAATAGAAGCCGAACGCCAAACACCAAAGCTGAATGAGGAGAGTGAGGCCAGGTGGTGAGCGACGCAGCTGCCCCTGAGGGGACCCCGGGAGGGCGGGGAGGTGCCTCTGGGCCCGGCGTCTCTGACGGGAGATTGGCAGCAGGACCTTTGGGAGGTTATTAACACTTGGCGTTCTTAGAAACAGAAGGCTTATGTCTGTTCATCTCTGGTAGATGAAAAACTGGAAGAGAAGATACTTTCAGCTGGATGAAAACACGATAGGCTACTTCAAATCTGAACTGGTACGTTGTCATAACTGTTGCTTTAAGAATGTTGGAAAACTGTACACTTGCGACATGTGGATACGATTTTTTTTTGGGTGGTGGGGCGTCACACCCACCGATGCTCAGGGGTTATTCCTGGCTCTGCATTCACGAATCACTCCTGGTGGTGCTTGGGGGACCATATGGGATGCCGGGGATTGAACCCAGGTCGGCCACAGACCAGGCAGTGCTATCTCTCTGGCCCTGATATAATTTCTTATCCCCTTCTGCTTTTAAAGTAATTCTGCTTTTGAGGAGTACATAGATACTCTGTTCGTTTTGTTGTGATGGCTTTTGGTTCAGCGGTATTTTGTCCAATGCATGTCGGATGGAAAGGCTCCATCCTCACCAGCGTTCCAGCTTGAAAGAAGCAGAACTCCCCCGACCTGTCAGTGTCTGCAGATCTTCCGCGAACATGCGTCGAGGGAGAAGGTGGGGAAGAGAAATCTCTAGAATGAAATGCTCCGCTTTTGCCTTCTTTGCCTGTGACCGTTTTCCTGTTTCAGATTGACTTAATTTTCCTGATGGGAGATGTTTTTGCCTCTTCCGAAGGTGGATGCAGAGGCTGAACACTGCCTTCCCTGTGACCTGCCTTCTGCACGGATGGTCGGATGAACTGATGCTTTTCTGGGTGGGACCACAGTGCAGAGGAGGGGTCCTGTGGAGATGTTCTGTCTCTGTACTGGCCGGGTCCCCCAGTGACCACTGAGCACCATCAGTGTCGTTGGTGTGACAGGCAAGCCTTAAGTTTTACGTTAGAACCTGCATGTATTAACATTTGTTCACTTAAATGTGAGACGTTCCACGAGCCTGTGGCAGGGCTGTGTTGGAAGCGGGGCCCAGAGCCGGGGGCGGGCAGACGTCAGGATTCGCCCAGGCCTTTCTGGGCTGTCGATGGGCGCTGGATCCTGTGCCTTTTCTTTCCCGAGCCGTGGGCCCCGGTGTCCATTGGCATCCTCGTCTCTCTGAGTTCATTTCGTACGCTTCTGGGGCACGGCGGTTCTCTTCTGGACCCTTTCTGAGCAGCGCAGTGCCTGGCCCTTGGTGGAGATCGCCCTGCAAATGTTTGGGAAGGAATGAAAAGTGGCACGGGACCAGCTGTCGTGACTCAGAGGGCCGTGCTTGTGCTTGGTTGGCAGGCGGCTTGACTCATTGCATGGCATCAATGCCCGTTTTCTTGGGGAGAGCCGCTCCTGCCACAGACACGCATTCAGCTCCCCGTGGCCCCGAAGCAGTGTGTGGGAATAAAGAGGACAGTCAGCGAGGCCCTGGCTTTCTTTGAGGAGAGCTTGGCATTTGCCCCTGCCCTCCCCACCCCCTCCCCAGAGTCATTCGAATACGACAGAAACGACTGTGGAGACGCTACGTCTCAGAATGTGCGTGGTGAACAATTCTGCTGTCAGTCTGAGAGAAGAATCCTGAGGGTCGGCGGGTGACAGAGTGCAGGCTTGCGTATTGTGAGTCCTGGATTCAGTCCCCGGAACCATGCACACTGATTACGAAACGTAACACAGCACGACATGAACTAGCTGGAATAATATTCAGAAGCCCCGTGTCTCTGTCGCCTGGGTTTCCCTGCCATCACGTTTCTCCTATTCCTTTACCCACTTCCTATTCATATTTGGAAGCAAATCCTAGGTTGTGATTTTTTTTTTCCCCCTTTTGGGTCACACTCGGTGATGCACAAGGGTTCCTCCTGGCTCATGCACTCAGGAATTGCAACTGGTGGTGCTCAGGAGGACCATATGGGATGCTGGGAATCGAACCCGTGTCGGTCGCATGCAAGGCAAACGCCCTACCCGCTGTGCTATCGCTCCAGCCCGTTGTGATCATTTCTATCTGTAGTTATTTGGGCTGGAGCGATAGCACAGTGGTAAGGCGTTTGCCTTGCAAGCGGCAGGCCCGGCCGAGCTGGGTTCAATTCCTCCGCTCCTCTCAGAGAGCCTGGGAAGCTACCCGTGACGTATTCAATATGCCAAACACAGTAACAACAAGTCTCATGATGGAGACGTTACTGGGCCCGCTCGAGCAAATCAATGAACAACGGGAGGACAGTGCTACAAGAGCAATTATTTGGGTGCATCTCTGAAAGATTTCCAAGTTTTTCAGTAAGTGTGAAAAAAAAAAAATCTAAATAAATGCACAACCGAAAAGTCGGGGGAAAGAATTTGTAACATACTTCAGAGATTAAAACACCAACGGCACAAATTATAACAATTTTGGGAAGTGAGGGGGGTCCTTCCTCACGTGCTCTCGCTGCCCTCTGCCTTCCGGTTAATCCCAGACGGTTCCGGCCTGAACTTTTCAGGTGAAGCAGGTGAATCGAAGTGTGGGGGACTGGGGGACGGTGGAGATCCAAGAGAGCAAGAAAGGGGACAGAGAGGGGAGAGAGAGATGACCTGGGGAGACGTGGGCCTGAAAGCCGAGCCAGCCACCAGAGGAGTCCACTTAACGCCGAGGAGAGACGGACGAGTTAGTGTTTTGTCACCTGCCAGGATGGTCTGAAAGGAAAGCAGTGTAGCTTCTGAGGCGGCCCATCAGAGATGCCTCAGGCACACATGGGTGGACACTGTGGACACTGTCGGCCCAGCAGGGCACCTGTGCAGTGTGGGTCTGGGCCGCGTCCTCAGACTTCCCAAAGGCTTATGGGGGACGCTCGGGGGTTGACAGCCATGGAGACAGAAGCTGTTTTGTGGGAAATGCAGTAAAATATTCAGGGCGCTGAAAGCCAGGTCGGCAGCTCACTCTGGAAGGCTTCAGGGAAACCGGTTCTTGGTGCTTCTTGGTGCTGTTGTGGCCTTGGTAGTTGGTTCAAAGTTTTAAAATGGCTAGAGCGATAGCACAGCATGTAGGGCGTTTGCCTTGCACGTGGCCAGCCCAGGTTTGATTCCCAGCATCCCATAGGGTCCCCCGAGCACCGCCAGGACTAATTCCTGAGTGCAGAGCCAGGAGGAACCCCTGTGCATTGTTGGGTGTGACCCAAAAAATAAAAAAAAATAGTTTTAAAATCGGGACGCATAGGGGTCAGAGAGACAGTACAGTGGGGGAGGCTCTTACGCGCGGCCAGCCTTGCTCTGACCCCCGCCCTGCCGTATGGGTCCCCAAGGCCTGTGACGAGTGATCCTTAGACAGAAAGCCAGGAGGGAGCTGTGAGCACTGTCTGGTGTGGCCCAAACACTCCCCCACTCCAAAAAATCTAAAAACTTCAATAAAGGGAAACCATCTGGAGGAAGCGGAGTGAGCAGCAGACAGAGGCAGACAGTTCACTCACTCAGACACCAAAGTGGGCCTTCCGTCTGTAAGAGGCGATCCACGTCCCTTGCAGAGGACGCCAACCCCCGATTGCCGAGTACTTCCCATCTCCCAGGGCAGCTGTGGCCCACAGCGGCTGCCGAAGGCGGCAGAGCTGGAGGAATCTGCCTGGTTTCAGAGCCAGACCCACAGGCTCCCTCTGTAACGGAAAAGGGCCAGCGACTTGGAGGAGGATGGGACTACGTCAGCGCGACCGAAAAACGGGCTGCCGGGACTCTCAGTGTCCCCAGCTGAGCTCCTTCGAGCCACAGAAGAAACAGCCAGGAGCAGGAATTGTGACCCATTGTGCAGGGCGAGTCACCGATCAAAGGCTTCCTGAGAGCCGGGGCAGCCAACCAGGCGGGCGTGGGCAGGGCCGGATCGGGATGGGAGACAGAGCGTTGCAGCAGATGCCGAAGGGAGCTGCCTCGCCAAGGGGGCCGGGGTGGGCTTGGACAGGAAGGGAGGGAGGGTCTGGACGCTGTGCAGGGCAAACCACGCGGCCCTACACGTGCAGTTTCCTGCCCAGGCTGCAGGGCTGCAGCTGACGTACGCCGAGTTTCGGACTGACTCCCTGTTGGCAGAGCCATCTCCGGAAGGGGCAGCCCAAGGCTGGCAGAGAGAGACTCAGGACCAGACCCACACTGCCAAGGGGACAAGGGGCCGGGAGCCGCGACCGAGGTCTGGCCCTGCCAGGAAGGACATTGGCTGGTGCTGGGCGAATGAATGAAGTGGGTGTGAGGGGGAGACGGAGGCTTCCTTAACTGGGTCGCTGCATTGTTGCTGGACCAGAGGTCAGCCCCAGTTTGGAAGGAAACCTCCACCGAAGGTCTTCCACTTCTAGGTGAAAGGACTCCTACTCCAGTCTAATGAAACTGTACGAACACAGAAATCGTGTTTAAATACACCCACGGTGACTTAGCAAGTGCAAAAGTTACATTTTGGAAAGAGGCCCACCAGGCTTCATAGAAAGTCTTTGTATGCCACGTTTATAAGTCGGACAGTCCAAAAGCAATTTAAAAATGAACTGTTACATAAAACTCTGGAGCCTTGTGTGTGTGTTCAGCAAAATTTACTATTTTATCTCATTTTTGATTTTTTATTTTTTTGAAGTGCTACATTAAAATAATTCTCTGTCTTAGTCTCATTCAGTGAAATTTGGTATGAGGTTTTTTTTTTTTTTTGCTTTCTGGGTCACACCCGGCAATGCACAAGGGTTCCTCCTGGCTCTGCATTCAGGAATTACTCCTGGCGGTGCTCGGGGGACCATGTGGGATGCTGGGAATCGAACCCGGGTTGGCCGCGTGCAAGGAAAACGCCCTGCCTGCTGTGCTATCGCTCCGGCCCCTGGTCTGAGATTTTATGCAATGTATGTGTACATTGTGTGGTTGGAAACCACTGTCAGCTCAGCTTTCTCTCTGGCATCTGGTTCTGCAGCCTCGTGTGAGATCCTTGTGGATCTGCAGTTCCCTCAGTGAACAGTATTTAAAGTGAATCTTGTAGGATAATGAAAGTGTAAGTGAAATAGCACTCATAAAATTTAGCACATGTCCTGGTATTTTGGCTCTTCCATAACTTAAGCATGTTAAAATTGGGGATTCACATTAAAGCAAGGGTTTTTCTGTTTGTTCATTTGGGCGCTAAGCCTTTGGTGTTCAAGGCCTGAGATGGCTCCGGGGACTGTGAGGTGCCTTACATCAAACCAGGCCTGCTTCCCGCAAAGCACATGCCAGCCCTGCGAGCTATTTCTCACCCCTAAAAGCTTTCTTAACATTCAATGCAGAACAGCTGGTGTTCATCCCCGCCCCCTTCCCCTTTATCAGAGGAGGAAGTGCTGCCTTCCTTGTGTTGGGGGCCACGGGGAAAGCCTAATGGTTAGAGCCACCGAGGAAGCACCCAGACCGGGAGTGATGCGGTGATGACTTTTATGCCTGTGTCCTTGTTTCCCTTAATGTGTTCAAGGATATATAGTATTTAAGCTATTTTGATACTAGATGGCTTCCTGGAAGTAGATTTATGTCTTCGATGCTTCTGGAAAGAAGCCTAATTTTCAGTTTGCCAAAGTAAGACAACTGACCCTTAATCGGAATGTGTGTCATTGACCTGTTTGCTTGCTTTTTTTTTCCCCCAGGAAAAGGAACCACTCCGTGTGATCCCACTTAAAGAGGTTCATAAAGTCCAGGAATGTAAGCAGAGGTAGGTGCCGTGCCTGGCCGGCTTTGTGACACAGCAGTCCCCTTCGCTTGGTGCTCACTGTACTGTGTGTGCTAGTGTTGGTCCTGGCCTTTGGAGGGGGGCTGGGGTCTCCCATTCAGTGCCCGGGTGGCCTGGCAATTCCCAGCCAACCGGGCCTGAAATTCATTGCTCAGCCCGAGAATGCTCAGCCCATAGTGCGGGTCATCTGGGGACGCCTCATCGGTGCTGCTCCCGGGGGCGCTTCCAGGAGTGGTTCCAGGGGGAGGGGGACGGCGCCAGGACGTTTAACCCCTGCCATGCCTTGACCTCCCCTCGCTCCTCCTTGCACTCATGAGAGCCTTCAAGAACCTTCAGAGAAGAAAGTGCTACATTTGTTGTATTTGAAAATTAAATTTGCGGAATCAGTTCTCGTACTTATTAATGGAAAGGGGAACGTCTGAGTTTAACAGTACGGTCCTATTTAACAAGTTAATATCATTTTAATAGTTTGAGGTGTGTATAAGCAACGAGGATGTATCGACCATGCTAGTATTTCTTTGAGCAACCTGGTGTCTCCAGCTGGGAGATTTTTGTTAAAAATTTTACGAACTTTCTCAAAAACATACTGAACTATATAAAAATGATTTATAAACTATCACAATAAAAATTTGAACTATAACAAAAAAAGTTTAAAAATGATTTTGTTAAATGTTTAAAAGTTGACGTTCAAGAACATTTGATTTCTTTTTTTTTTTCCTTTTTGGTCACACCTGGCGATGCACAGGGGTTACTCCTGGCTCTGCACTCAGGAGTTACTCTTGGCGGTGCTCAGGGGACCATATGGGATGCTGGGAATCGAACCCGGGTCGGCCGCGTGCAAGGCAAACGCCCTATCCGCTGTGCTATCTCTCCAGCCCCAACATTTGATTTCTTAATATTAATTTTATTCCTGTGTGTTGGTGCTGGGCTGACAAGTGACTGGAAAACTGTCAAACGGCTGTTTTTCTCTGTTGGCAGTGACATCATGATGAGAGACAACCTCTTTGAAATCGTAACGTCGTCACGGACTTTCTACGTGCAGGTAAGATGCTCGTTGGGAGTTTAGAGGTGCTCCTGACAAGGTTAATTTTAGAAATGACGTAAGCGTCAAGCTGCTGCTTACAAAAATCAGCTCTGGTCTGGCAACTGAAATGCACTCCCTCGGTTTAAGATGTGGTAAGATTGTTGATTGACAAACTGGGATGCTGTCTGCAGTGAATTACTGTCCCTGCCACCAGCCCACACGTCCAGTAGGACTGTGTGAGCACTGTCCCTGGGGTCTGACCCACACAGCCAGCCGTGTGAGCCGTTGAAGGGACGGGAAAGAGGAGACGGAACCGTGGAATGCCTCCTTTCTCCACAGCAGCCTTTGGAAAGAACAGCTGTCCAGGCAAGGCTCCAACTCAGCCACTTGACTTCTACAACTTGACTTAACATATGTGACGCACGGTTTCTGGCACCCAGAAAAAAATTAAAAAAAAAAATACAACTTTTATGAAAATTGCAGAGGCTTATTAAGGGAACATTTTAAAAACACAAAAATGCGAGGGAAATGAGGAGTTTGAAAAACACAGTGAATCCCATATTCAGGCAATAATTTTTTTTTAGTTACCACTCTTAAGTCATATCTTCTTATAAAAAAAATTTATGTTTTTGGGATCCACTGAGCAGTGCTCAACTTACTCCTGGCTCTGTGCTCAGGGATCACTTCTGGTGGGCTTGGGGAACATGTGGGGTGCCAGGGATTGAACCTGGATTGGCCACATGCAAGGCAAGCACCCTGCCTTGTTGTACTATCTCTCTGACCTCTAAAGTCATATTTTTTCATAGTTAAAGTGATCCTGCGAATTGCACTGTTTCATCTAATTTAATATACTATGAATTTATTTGGTTTGCTTTTTTTGGGGGGGGCACACCCAGCAGTGCTCAGGGATCCCTTCTGGTTGGGCTTGGGGCACCATATGGTCTGGTCTCCTGGCCACTGAACCCGAGTCAGCCTCATGCAAGGCAAGTGCCCTACCCGTTGTGCTATTGCTGTAGCCCTATGTGAATAATTTTCCTACCTCACTAAAATTCTTAGAATTGTACCATACTCTTTGTTTTAATGTCTTGCAGTTAAACCATTTCTTTTCTAAATAGTATTGGTCATAAATTTGCATCATTTTTCTTTATTTTCTGTGATAATGTGGTGAATCATTTTTTTGTGTGCATAAGTTTGCCTATAGGATTGTTTTTAGATAACAAGTAGCTATCAGGGGCCGTATACACAGTGGGTAAAGTGCTTGCCTAGCGAGCAGCTGACTTCAGCTGATGCAGGCAGTGGTCAACCCGGGCCACCACAGGAGTGACCCCTGAGTAGGGCCAAGAGTAAGCCCTGAGCATTGCTGGATGTGCCTCCCTGCCCATCCCCAAGGGCCGTCAGACAGGGACCTTTTAAAGGTACTCCTGCTGGCTGAGAGTAGAAATTGGCCATTTGCCTTGGCTTTCTGTAGTTTCCTCCCTCTCAGACACAGTTGTTAGTATCACTGGTTCAAGAAGACAGTCGCGACCAGACTGGGGGTGAGTGGTGGAGAACGTGCTGGCATGTGTGAGGCCTGGATTCAGCCCTCAGCTCTGCCCACCTCTGCCCCCAGAAACATGCAAACGATGTTTTGAAAATCTTGACTTCCAGACTCTGAAAGTAAAAGGCACTGTTTGATTAAAGACATAGTGAAGTGAAGTGAGGGTGAGTTTGATAGTTGGGGTTCTTCAGTATTGTTTCTTCGGCCCGCGGGGAGCAGAGTATTTAAGTCACAGAGGAAGGCAGTGTCGTGTCGAGCATTGAAATATTTTGGACTGTCACTGTCTTGCCATTATATCTAGAATAAATAATACCAGATTATATTAGGTTTGGTTTTGGGGGCTTTTTTGGCTTTGTTTTGTCTTGGGGCCGCACCCGGTGGTGCTTACGGGTTATTCCTGGCAGTGCTCGGGGGGAAGCCACATGGGGTGTGCAAGGCACGTCAGCGCCTTCCCTGCTGTGCTCTCACTCCAACCCTCAGTTTGGGTTTTTTTAACCACAAAGTTGGTGCAATAATTGGTTCAGACAGTAACATGGAAGATTAAGCAGAATGAGGTCTCCCGAGTTTCCTTCTCGTTTTGTCTCCAGAAGAATGCACTTGACACTTCGATGGGCCCCGATCGTCAATCAAATGTTAAGTGCCCAGCTCAGGTCTCCGGAGAATAACTTCCTCAGGCAAATCCTGGTTTTAAAGAGGTTTTTTTTTTTTTTTACCCCCTAAAACTTGGGAGAATCCAGTGCCTTAGAGTGATTTCACTGCAGATGTGGGATGATTGAAAGCTGATTTCCAGGAAGCGTGAACTGACCTGGCCCCTCCTTCCCCTCAGGCCGATAGCCCTGAAGAGATGCACAGTTGGATCAAAGCCGTGTCAGGGGCCATCGTGGCGCAGCGGGGACCCGGCCGGTCAGCGTCTTCTGTATGTGTCCACTCTGCGGGGCCGGTACTCCCCCCACCCCACCCTGACCCCCCAGTCTGTCCGTTATTTCCCTGCCGGTCAGCATCTTCCGTGTCCACTCTGCCGGGCCGGTACTGCCCCCCACCCCCCACCCCGCCCCAGTCTGTGGGTTATTTCCTCTCCTCCCCCTAATCCTGGTGGTTTCTTTCCACGTTGAGATGTAGTTGCATGACTTTGATACCAATTGGACTTGCAGAGAATAATGCATTTCTAATTTAATGCTTCCTTGGAGTGTTACGTATACACGACTTTCTGTGCAGTGTATTGTCTTAAATGCACAAGCAGGGCCACTAAAGAATGAACGTTTCCTTTCTTTGTCTTAGGAGTTCTGATTTATTAGTAGGTCCACGGTTGGTGTCAGTTGGCAAATTCTTTGTATGTTAAGCGGCCTGGTTATGCGAAGCACTTTCTAGTCGGAGCTTTCCATGGTTCTGTGACCCTCTCGGTTTCCTCTTTCCTTCCTCTCATTCCCCTGGAAAGGTTTTTGAGCCTTAGTGAGTGCAGGTTGACAGACCGCGGGGGCCCCCCGGGACCTGGCGTACCCCCTGTGTTCCCGGCAGCGTTTCCCGTGTCCTGTTTCCATTCTCATTTCCTAGGAAGTGGATTGTCCAGGCTGCCGCCTTTTTCCCTGTCGTTATTGTCTTGCGGGGTCGTATGCTTATAAAATGGAAACAATGAAAGAGGCTGCAGAATAGTCAGCAAAGTGTTTTTCCCTGACCCTGTTTGAGTAACTTTAAGACTTGACTTCGGAGCGCTCTGATCACTGGCCTCTGCAAACGCAAATTTGACTGAGGAATTGGAAAAAAAAAAAAATGTAGCCATTTAAATCTGTAGAAGGTCGGGCAACAGGCAGCCCAGTGGCCTGGATTGCTGAGATTCAGTGGCTAAGTGCTCACTCCTCTGGGCTTCGTTGTTCCGCTGGCGTTACTGTTCGGCCGTCATGCTGTCTCGGAACAGGTCCCTGGGCCCAGTAACCACGGGCCAGTAAATTCAAATCCCTTCTCGTTTCTGAGTCCCTCTCGGCCGCGTGTGGGCCCTCACCCCCGTCTCCTCCCCAGTGTTGGTCTGTGGTGCGTGGGGCCTTCTCCGCGGCCGCCCCGGAGACTCTGCCTGAGCACTGTCGGGAAGAGGAAGTTCCGAGCCGGGCCTTCGCGTTTCGGTGCTTTGTGGTGGGGGCAGGCGGGACCCTGGGGGCTCTCCCTATCCGCACAACTCTCTCTCTCTTCCTCCCTCTCCCAGTCTAGGGTGACTCTAACCGTAGCTTTGCCCTGTGTTCCAGATGCGGCAGGCCAGAAGGCTGTCGAACCCTTGTATACAGAGGTACACAGCAAGGACTGTCGGCAGCGCGGACCCGGGCTCGCACGCGCACGCGCCTTCTTACTAGAGGGCCCGGCTGACTCCCTACTTACCACTGACCGTAGGAAGTTGAGTTCACCAGACTGTCCCCCCCACCCCCCGCAGTCACCCTAACTGGCGTTGTCAGCACTAACGCACACTCCTTCCCTCCCGTCAGTCGTCAGGTCGGATTCGGATGTTTTAATCAAAACAAAAGACCAAAAAAAAAAAAACAAACCAAAACTAAAAACCCCCCTGAAAAGTCACTAATGGAAAAGTCCCACGAAGCTCTCTTCTCATAACTGAGTGCCACAAGTTTCAGTTTTTATACTCCCCGTGTCTTTGGACATGTTTTTTACTCTTCCCCTCGAAAACGTACCTCCGCAGACTCGTACCCGAGTCTGCCTCGGGTGAGCTCTTGTCAGGTGCTCGCCCGGCCTCTGAGACGTCAGGTCCAGTGGACGGGGTTCAGGTCCTTTGTCGCGCTGATCCAAAGCCACCAGTCACGTCCGTGAGCGCAGTAGGCTAGGCGCTGGACAGCTGGCCTTCGCAGGCAACGTCGGTTTGGGGCCAGTGAAACACCAGCTTTATTCTCCCACTGCTCATTCTCCACCAGTCGTTAATAAAATCGACCCTTTCCTTACTTTTAATACCTGAAGGCACTAAATGCGTGTCCGAAAGTCACCGAATGAAGTAAGCGAAGACTGTGGTCGTTAGCGAGAGTCCAGGTCAGGGAAGCAGAAGCCACCGTCCAGCTGCTGGACGAGTGACCAACGCCGAGTGCTGTCCGCGTTTTCACTTTTTAATCTTTCTGAGCTCTTGTGCGCTCTGGGCGAGGTGTTGGTGGAGAATAGACCCTGTGAACCCAAACCATCAGCTGGCAGGCCCCGGTCCAGACCCCTCTGAGGGCCGCGATTGGACCACTTCCAGCCCCCCCCCCCTCCTTGCAGCCAGCTGCACCTCTGGTGACGGAACTGGTCTCTCGGCTGCAGTGGCTGTTGGCTGTTGCTTTGAGCTCGCTCCTAGAATGCATCGCTCTGGGGGGAGGCGCGCTCGTCTGCTGCATGGCTCTACTCTGCTCTGCTCTGCTGTGCTCTGCTCTGCGTGTGTGCTGTGCCGTGCCGTGCTTGTGTTTCGGAGAGCAGCGTCTCGTGCGAAGGAGTCACTAACGCGGAGGCTGTGGCTGGCCGGCCGGCCGCCCGCTCACCGCCCGTCACCCCTCTCCCCAGGAGCAGCCCGCCGGCGCCGCAGAGCCCAGGCTCGCCCTCCGCTCTGCCGCCGCCGCCACCCGCAGCCACTCTCTGGCCTCCAGCCTTACCGTGGAGAAGCGAGGATTTTACGAATCTTTTGCCAAGGTCAAGCCAGGGCACTTCAAGGTCCAGACTGTCGCTCCAAGAGAACCAGCTTCCCAAGTGACTGACCAGGCGCTGCGGAAAGCACCGTGGAACTGCGGCCCTCGGGAGCCGGGTCGGGAGCCGGTGGACTTGGATGACGCCAGCCTGCCCGTGAGCGACGTCTGAGCTGGGCGCGTGGCGGGCCACCTGCCTCCGGCCCGCCGCCCAACCCAGGGACCTTCTAGCCAAAGATGATAAAGGGTGGAACGGTTTCTCACGCTCTGTCACACTGCCTCTTAGATGTAGTCTTTTATAAGCTGGTAAACCAAGAGTCTCGGGCACGGCCAAACCAAATGTAATCTCTTCGGAAACAAAGGAAAGAAAGGAAAAACCCAAGTGTCTCAGCATCAGTTTCATGTGTTCTAATTTGGGGGTGTGTGTGAGTGTGTGTTCCTGCGTGTGTGTTCTTAGTGAATTTGAACATTTAGATGTCTTAATATTAAAAATGCTTATGGATTATGTTGGTCATCTAGAAACTGCTACTATGACTTCCTGGTAGGCGTTCACTATGTAGACCTGCTTCCTGGCTAATACCATTGAATGAGAGATTGCCAGGCGAAGAGCTGGAAACTCACGGTGTCTGAGGTGCTGTGAAACCGATACACGCCATAGACTCTGGAAATCACGACTGTTTGGGTGCCCTGGGTCGCCAGGAGAGCGCAGAATTTAGCACTGGGGGTTTTATTTGACTGTCTGCGAAGCGGGAGAGAAAAGGGAAAATTAGAATTGTAAGAGCTACATCTTGGGAACGTTTGATCAACATCTGCAGCCAGGGTCCTTGCATGAAAATGATTTCCGTATGGAATTTCCGGAAGAGGCTTTTCTTACCGGGTTCTGTCAGCAGGCCTTGTCCCGGCTGCGTTTGGGTCCGTGTGAGACCCCATCAGACCCCCCAAGTGAGACGTGGCATCCTGTGTCAGACCCCCCCCCCCCCAACGGCAGCCCTGCGGGGGGGGCCTCCCCTCGTCCCCTGCCACCTAGATTCAGGTGCCTGTTCTTAGAATCTTGGTTGGGCAGTTTTGAGAATACTGTGCTCGAAAGCTTCACTTGACTGGTTGTAAACATTAGGACAAGATCAGTTTTCAGTCACTTAGTTGAACGTGACAAATGGGTCATTTTATGCCAGGTGCCAGAGCATTGATCTTCCACTCCCTGTGCAATACGTACGTTTTACAAAACCAACTCCAGTAGGGAGCCGTTTGCGGGGCTGTCATGAAGACGTGCGCCTCGGTGGATTCTTCATTCCGGGCCGCGCTCACAGCCCCAGCTGATCTAAGTGTCGTGTGTGCGGTTCCGTCTTAAACACGCTTAAGAGAACAGTCTTGAGTTTCACATGCTGCTATTTTTACATTTTGCTATTTGACAGTACTGTTTTGTTTTGAGTTCTGCACATCACCGTGGTTTCTCCTTTTCATTTTCTACAGCGACTGCCTGTCCAGGGAAAAGAGACTTCCTCCTGCAGGGTGGGGGGGAAGGGGGTGCCCAGAGGGCATCCTCTCCTGGGACTCCAGTTCCCCTGGCATCCGTTTCCAAACCCTGTGTGGCAAGAATGCACCACTGATTTTTTTTTTTTATATATAAGCTAATCTTTTGAAAGTTATATTTAGATTTTGTTTTCCTGTGTGCATCCACGTTTGAAAATGACAGAATGGAAAAACTCGAGGCAATGACTTGTGCTGACACACCCCTCCGTGTGGCTCCCGTGGACGTGGCTTTTTCACGGAGACACCTTGAGTCCCGCGCGGGCCATTCGTGACGGTCAGAAGCCTTGTGCTCTCTCGCTTGGTACAGTTTCCACACTGCATGTGCATTTTAGCATATTTTGGTATTGGTAATTTGATATTTTTAACGGTGGCCAAATACTCGCTCTATTTTGGAATTTTTTTATAGACTTCCCCCCCTCCCCCTTGTATTCCTCAGCCAAGGAAAAAAAAGGTTTTTTTGTGATTGTCAGGGTCTTCTAATATTTATCTCGATACTTTTATAATTCTATGAAAATTATTTAATTATTTTAAAACGTATACTTTCTGTAAATACGTCACAACCGAGTTATCAAAAAGTTACTTTGCATACCTTAATATTTGCTACAGGTTTCATCCGTGTATAGAACATGTCTTCTTTTGGAACGGGAATATTCATGTGCTTCCCACTGTTTACGCCTGTTATCTTCATATGTCAAACACTGTAATGAATTGAGAATAAACTGCTCAAAATTGGTTCTCACTGTTTTCGCACTTGTTTTGCTTCAGCTACTTTTTGTGAATAATTAAATAGAAATAGAACTCGTCCAGATTGTGTTTGGGTAATTGACTTGAATTTACATATTTATGGACGAAGGAGTTACTCAGTATCCTTTGAAAACAGAAGAAGCTTCAGATCTGTGAGTAGCTCACAGTTTATATGTATATATTTTTTATTAGTGAAACACCTCACGGTGTTTCACTAATAAAAGTTGTAGACTTACAAATTTTTGTGCTTGGGTTTCAGTTATGCAATGATCGAGTCCCCATCCCTCCACCAGTGCCCATTCCCCACCACCACTGATCCCAGTACCCCTCCCCCCCACCCCCATCCCCCCCATCCTCCCCTGCCTCTGTGGCAGGACATTCCCTTTTGTTCTCTCCTTTTGGGTGCTGCGGTTTGCAAAAGAGGCATTGACTGGCAATCAACTTACCGTTTATATTTTTAATTTAATTTTATTTTAGGGCCCCACTTGGCTGTGCTCAGGCTTACTCCAGACTCTGTGCAGGGATCACTCCTTGTAGTGCCGGGGACCACACAGGGGGGTGCCGGGATCAAACCGGGGTCAGATGTGTGCAAGACACCCTCCATGTCTGCTGTCTGGTCCCTTCCACCCAAATCTGCAAATTCCTGAAGCATCACTTGATAGGACATTGCATCAGGAAAGAGGAATCTTTGGGAGAGAGAACTTACTTAACTACGAACCCTGTTCTCAGAAGCCAAACTAAATGCACTAGCTCTCAGGTGTACTGGGTCCCCCCAGACTCTGCCCGGTGGTGGCTGATGAGTCAGGCCCCGACATCGGAAGTGCAGGTGTGCGATCAACTTGCTTTCATCAGAAACTGCCACCAGGCACCAGAGGCTGCTCCCGGCCCTCCCCCCCCCCCCCCCCCCCCCCCCGGTTACACGCAGCCCATATCTGCTGTCTGTCCAGGACTTTTTTTTACCATTATATTTATTGACAAAAATAGTCCAGAAAAGAATTAGGTAGAAAAATGATCTCATAGAACAGAACTGAAGCCACATCTTTCAAGGGTTAAATATATGTATCACTGTATCACCGTCATTCCGTTGTTCGATTTACTCAGTCACCAGTAACATCTCCATTTGTCCCAGCCCTGAGATTTTAGCAGCCTCTCCTTACTCATCTTTTTCAACCTGCTATATTAGAGGCTCTTTCAGGGTCAGGGGAATGAGACCCCTTATTGTTACTGTGTCTGGCATATCGAATACGCCACGGGGAGCTTGCCAGGCTCTGCTGTGTGATACTCTCGGTAGCTTGCTGGGCTCTCCGAGAGGTGTGTATAAATATATACACATAAATATATATATTTTTCCCCCCTCTGATTTGTTGCTTACTGTCTGAATCCCATCAAATATAGTGTGGTAATTATGGAAAATGAGTAGGGAGTGTCTTATGATGTGTCCAGGAATATGTTCACTCATGTGAAGCTTGGCCCGAGCATGTGGAAAGCGACCTGGAGCGTGGTGGCGGTTGGGTAGTGGAGGTCAGCTGTCGGGGCAGGGAGGGCTCTCACCCAACCCCCTCTGGGGCGCCCCGAGTGAAAACAGCCTGACGCAGAGTCTGGTGGCATGGTTACAGGGGCCTCATTTTATGCTCCCTTCCGGGAGAAGCAGCCGTGAGTTGTGGAGGGCGGCTGATATATATTTCCAGAAAAATGCTTTCCTTTGATCAAAGCAAAATGCAGTAGAGGTCCAGGTCGGTGCAGTGCCCGGCACGAGTTCCAAACCCCTCTTGAACAAGTGCAGGCGAGACCTTCGGATGAAGCAACAGCACTGTAGAGAAATTGTTCATCTGATATTCTGCAGGTATCTTGACAGAAATCTTCAGGATTTTTTTTTTATGTAGGAGTACTGCTATTTATTCAGCCACCGATTAGCTGATTGAATTGTGCATGAACTCCACCTTACTTTTCTTTTTTTTATAATTTTATTTATTGAATCACTGTGAGAGCAGTTACAAAGCTTTTGGGTCTAAGTCTCGGTCATACAATGAAACACCCATACCTTCACCAGTGCCCATTCTCCACCACCAAAAATCTCAGTATACCCCCATCCCACATCCTCCCCCTGCCTGTGGGGCAGATGATTTCCACATTACTCTCTCTCTACTTTGATCACATTCAGTATTTTGACACCAGTAAAATAAAAAAGTAAAGGCCCTCCCGTTGATCGTCGATTTGCTCGAGCGGGCCCAGTAACGTCTCCATTGGAGACTTTGTTGTTACTGTGTCTGGCATATCGAATACTCTCGGTAGCTTGCCAGGCTCTCCGAGAGGGGCGGAAGAATCGAACTCGGGCCGGCCATGTTGGCCGCTTGTAAGGCGAACGCCCTACCAGCTGTGCTACACACACACACACACACATGGGCTGGAGCGATAGCACAGTGGTAGGGCGTTCGCCTTACAAGCGACCAACATGGCCGACCTGAGTTCGATTCCTCCACCCCTCTCGGAGAGCCCGGCAAGCTACCGAGAGTATTCGATATGCCAGACACAGTAACAACAAAGTCTCCAATGGAGACGTTACTGGGCCCGCTCGAGCAAATCGACGATCAACGGGAGGGCCTTTACCCTTACCTTTGACACCAGACCCACCATTATTATTTGAGATTTTACCCCAACACTCAGATCTGCTGAAAAGGCAACAGTAGACAATTTGTTTTCCATTGCTGGTTATGAATAACATATGATGTCGCGTGGCTGCAGTAGTGGCCACGTGATTTTGAAATTCCAAAATGTTAACACTTAAATCTGGAGGGATTTCTGCTAAAACCTGTGGGTTTCGAGATTCGCTCCTGAGTCTCTGGGATCATGGCTGTTAAGCAGCTTGATCAGGAGCCAGAAAGGCCGTTCGTGGGTGATGACTTGGGGTCTCGTTGGGATGGGGAGGACAGGACCGGCTCCACCCCCATCCCTTGAGGCCCAACAAGTTTCGTCACTGCGGGCCCAAGCCTGACTGTCCAATGGCCTCTGGAGAATGATGGCCACCGAGCCGCCAAGGGGGAGCAGGTGGAGTGACAACACCCTTTCCCCCGTGGGGTGGCCCGGCGACAGTGACCTACTGTGAGGTCTGGATGCATTTCTGCCAAAAGCCACTGGGTTTTGAGATTTGTTTCTGAGTCTCTGGGATCATGGCCATTAAGCAGCTTGATCAGGAGCCGGAGAGGCCGTTCGTTGGCCATGACTTGGGGTCTCATTGGGGTGGGGAGGACAGGATCGGCTCCACCCCCATCCCAGGAGGCCCTGTGTGTCTCGTCACTGCGGGCCCAAACCTGACTGTCCAGTGGCCTCTGGAGGATGGCGGCCACCGGGCCGCCAGGGGGAACAGGCCAAGGCACGAAACCTATTCCCACCTGGGTTGGCCCAGCACCAGTAACCTACTGCAAGGACCAGACGCATTTCTGCCAAAAGCCGCTGGGTTTTGAGATTTGTTTCTGAGTCTCTGGGTTCATGGCCGTTAAGCAGTTCGATCAGGAACCAGAGAGGCCATGCCTCCAATTATATAGCTGAGCCGGAGGTGGTTTGTGGGTGTGTTTCCCACATACCTAACTTTTGGCCATTTACTTTCTTGGTAAACTTTGCCCCAAGTTTTTGGGGTCTGGCCAAAGGCACAGCAGCAGTTTTGGGGTATCTGGAAGTCTGAAGGCGCCATCAGGCTGCTGATGCACTCACCTCACAGGTACACATTGACCTGCTGGTGGCACCATACCCCCATCTTCAGGATTTTAAATGTCTTCCTCTTGGTGTCTTGTCCATTGTCCAAACCCTGCCACCTCCCCTTCTGTTCCCACCCCACGTCTCTCCTCTCCCCTCCCTTCTCCACTCTCCCGTTTTAAATTTCCCTTTTACTTTTAGGTTAATGCAAATTTTTCTGTTCGGGATTGAAGCAGAAAATACGTGTATTACAAAATGTAGGGACAGAAGATCTAGTTCAGTGGGTAGGGCACGACAGGAGCACATGCAGGGGGCCGGGTCTGGCCCCACTATTTGGTCCCCAACACCCCACCCCTGGGAGCAACCGGTGAGCGCCATCTGGTGCACCATAGCTCTGTAGCAATGTCCTCCCATTACTCATAGATTTGCTCGAGCGGGCACCAGTAACAAGACTCCTTGTTACTGTGTTTGGCATATCGAATTCGTCACGGGGAGCTTGCCAGGCTTTGCTGTGCGGGCATGGTACTCCCGGTAGCTTGCCAGGCTCTCTGAGAGAGGTGAAGAAATCGAACCCGGGTCGGCTGCGTGCAAGGCAAGCACCCTTGGTGCGGTCTCCAAATTAAAAAAAAAAACAACAGCCCCCCAGAATCTGATACTCTAACACATCTGATGAGACATTTCCTTCAGGAGGATTCGACATCCACGCAGAGCTTGCTGGGAAACAGGTAGGTGGGTTCACACTGTTGGTATTCACACAGACCTTCCAGAGACCCGACACTGAAGGGGTTGTTCTTTATTGGTTTCTGAAAATGGTGTTCCAAGCCTCAGTGCAAGCATTAGGAATGGGGATTACTTCAATGAAATTCTTTTTTTTTTTTTTACTTTTTGGGTCACACCTGGCGATGCACAGGGGTTACTCCTGGCTCTGCACTCAGGAGTTACTCCTGGCGGTGCTCAGGGGACCATATGGGATGCTGGGAATCGAACCTGGGTTGGCCGCGTGCAAGGCAAACGCCCTACCCGCTGTGCTATTGCTCCAGTCCCTCATTTTTTTTTTTTTTAAAGTAAAAGTAAAGTAAAGGCCCTCCCGTTGATCGTCGATTTGCTCGAGCGGGCCCAGTAACATCTCCATTGGAGACTTTGTTGTTACTGTGTCTGGCATATCGAATACTCTCGGTAGCTTGCCGGGCTCTCCGAGAGGGGCGGAGGAATCGAACTCGGGTCGGCCATGTTGGCCACTTATAAGGCGAACGCCCTACCCGCTGTGCTATCGCTCCAGCCTGATAAAAAAAAAAATT